CACCGAGGTCGGTGTGCGAACGAGGTGCCTGTTGTGTATACCTAAAAGTCACAAGGAGTCCCATACTTGCAGGTATGGAGTGTAACATGTGTGTTGAGATGGTGCTATTATGTATGATAACCGACGGTGCTATATTCCATACAGGTGGAGCAGTCTGATGTGTTAAGGGATAGTGTAAGAAGGAATGACCGAGGTAAGGTGGTCACAGATTGTTATGCAATAAGTAGGTGGATGACACGCCATCAATGTAAGAGTCTGGGGCCCATCTGGGTAACCACATTTTCGTTGTTCTTCTGAGGAAGGCCAATTCATGTATATGTTTTTTACCAGTATGTTTTATAAGGAATAAATCAATTAAGACATGTTATGGTTTCACCCTTCTTCCCCCTTATCGATCTGGTCAATGGAAAACCTAGCCCAATGCCTAGTCCACTCTGCACGCTACCTAACGAGCTACATGCTGTCCAGAGGGGGTCTGGTGGCAGCGACCCTTAGAAATTAAGATTAGAGTTAAGTATTTACCCTTAGTATTAACGACCCCAGAATCTGGCAGTATACTAGTATGACGAATTCTAATATTTTCCTACATGTAAATATGTACATTATATTGTATAACCTGTCAGTCTTCTACGGGCGGACATACAAACAAATACCACCGCCCGACTCCGTAAAGCAGAGTGTAGAAGGGCTGAAAAGGAGTTCCAGAGGCTGGTTGCAAGCGAGGTCAAGTCAAACCCAAAGGCGTTTTACCGCTATGCAAAGTCGAAATTGAAAACGCGAGTAGGAGTATCAGACCTGAGGCTTGAAGATGGTAGTTACGCAGATTCTTACCAGGATAAAGCTGAGGCAATGAACAGCTTCTTTTCGTCTGTGTTCACAAGAGAGGACGCAACTAACCTTCATGCGTTTGAGGACAGACGGTTCGACACAGCACTGACCCACATTCACAGAAGAGGGTATTAGAAATAAACTGTCCAGGCTAAAGGTCCATAAGAGTCCCGGCCCTGACATGAAGCATCCTAGAGTGCTAAGGGGAATGGGACAACTGGCCGCCGCCATCTGGCCGCAGCCCAACGGGCTGCGGCCAGATGGCGGCGGCCAGTTGTCCTAGACCCCATCCTCCTTGCTCTCCATACCCACACCCTTCCTCCACACCCACACCCTTCCTTGCCCTCCATACCCACACCCCTCCTCCAAACCCACACCCCTCCTCCATACCTATACCCCTCCACGCCATCCATACCAATGTGGGTACGGAGGGTGTGGGTTATGGAAGGCGTGGAGGAGGGGTGTGGGTATGGGGGACGTGGAGGAGGGGTGTGGGTATGAAGGGTATGGAGGAGAGGTGTGGGTATTGATGGCTTGGAGGAGGGGTGTGGGTATGTGGGGCGTGCAGGAGGGGTGTGGGAATGGGGGATGTCGAGGAGGGGTGTGGGTTATGGATTGTTGTGAAAATGATGCGGGTAGTGTTGGACACTATCTTTGTTTTTATGTTATCATTGTTCTCCCTGGTTTTGTGACAAGTGCTTTTGCTTTGTGTTTGTGACTGTGAAGTGAGCAGTGTAACTTTGAAAATGTCTGGGAAGGCCAAGACATCCAAGAGAACTGTGTCTCTGAGGTGTAGCTTGACATTGTGAAGTGGCATGAAACTCCCAGAGGCTGTGTGGGAGTCAGAGTGATGTCTCCACTTCACCTTCAAGAGCCCCCTTAGTCTTGAAGGGACATGTGATGTTGACCAGGATTATTCTTCATGATGTGGTGAGTGTTGTTTAATTGTTGTTGTTACGAGTTGGGGATTTAGAATATAGTTAAAAGTCTACCAAGATCCCAACAGGCAACAACAACAAAAAACAAAGACAATCGGACTATAAAAGGGTAGACAAAGGATGCGAGTTTTTGTTGTGTATAATAAAGTACCATAAATTCCTTAACAAAATATTCAGCTTCCTATAAATTACCCTTAACCAAACTTTACCTAAACATTAACAGTATATACATATTAATACAACATAAAACAATCATGAAGCAAGGTGGAGGTGGGAGAGGCAATACAAGATTACAAATACTTAAGTGAGGAGCTGAGATGGCTGACGAGTAAGGCTGAGCATTGTAGAAGACAAGTAGTCACTGTGCCATAGGTTTAGAAGATAGGTGATCCTGTGGTCACTTCCCAGAGTGTAGTGCTCTCTCCTCGAATTGGAGCTGACAAAGAAGACTTTGAGGAGGTGACGCAACAACCAGGATATGGAGAAGGGAAACCCCGGAGTGGTAACTAAGACGAGTCATACTCGTGTTTCGTCCCTAGATGGCGTTGCTCGTGGTGCTGGGTAGGTAGATCAGGACAATTGGTGGCGGGGTTCGTAACAGTTGTCTATTGATTTTATAAGTGTAAGGATTTTTTTTATCGGTGATACATGTGTGTTTGGGGGACTGGCTGGGAACGTATCCCAATTAACCCCATGTTATAATGCTCCCTATCTATGATATTTCACTTAGCGATGGGTTTTTCAGGAACCTAACCCCATTGTTTATCAATGTTTACCTGAATCTACTTGGGACACAGCAATGTAAAGTTTTCCCGGTTTTTATGAAAATTATTCATGCACGACCACTTCTGGAAATTTCATAAATGAAACTCAACAAATATTCTATGTTTATTTCTCAGACACAATTTCTAAAGAGATGGATATTTTTAAATGACTGCATCACAACATAGCACCCACATAATAATAAGTAGTGAAGCCATCAACTACCAGTGGGTATCAACTGAAGCAGTAGAAGCAGCCTGAACAGCAACAATCTGGTCAGCAAAGAATACTGCTCCACTGCAAGAGCACAAGCAGTTTTATGAGAGAATCGAGAATCTTGACCCTTTAAGTTCATTTCTCATTATTTAACAATTAATTACAAGCAATCATGTTTGTTTTTTACCAACTTTGAAAGAAAATTTTAAAATTACAAAATTAAATATACATAATGTCAATTTACCTTCACAAATTTTATATTTCCTCAGGATTCTGAAGATTAGAAAATGAACTTAAATGAATATTGGGAAATTCAACATAATGCATTACTACAATTTCTAGTTCATAAACCATTTATTAGTTTGATTTTCAATGTGTCTTGCGTAATAACATTACTAAATTGGACCTTCTATTTTCTGAAATGTTGGGAATACACTATACACACTGGATAGGAAGAAGTGTAACAAGAATCTCACTAACAACAACTTCTCCACTGGGACTATAGTACAAGTGGCATAGATATGAAGGTACTGTATATCAATTGGACTACTCTGCCTTCTAGCCAGAGTCCTATAACATGTACAAGGTGAGTTAGGGAGCAACATTTACAAATTAAGACACTGGTTGTAAAGGGGTGCCAAACCCTACTTAATTAACCAACCTACACATAAGGGATAAAAAAATTCTTGTATTAGAAAAAGATTTCACATACTCCTGATGAATGTCACAACTGTTGTGGCCTGGATGAGTATTATGAGGGTAGAAATTCAAAGTTTTACTTGTTTCATACTTGAAGATAAACTCAAGACTAGAGTAATCATTGTAGTTAGCATACCACAAAATGAGGCAAATTAATCTTAAGTGTGGCTAAATATAATTGAGAGAACAATGATACAATTGATGAGAAGAGTTCATCCTATGTTCGAGTGTGTGATATGGAAGGTTGGAATATAATTTTAACACATTCTAGTCTTGCTGTTCACTAATGATTCGCAGTTTCCTTGACAACTGATTTTAGACCTTACAAATTACAGTGCTTCCTTTAAGGTGAGTTATGCACTCTGTAAGCTATATAAAAGACCCCCCCCCCCAAAAAAAAAAATAATTAAAGGGTATTCTGATAAAAATAAGTCAGACTGAGATCTTTCCATATGAGACTATATAACAAGATTCCAATCTCAATGTGTGAGTTGTGACTGTACATGAACTTATTGGAAAATGGGAGTGGCTATTGATTACCTAAAAGTAAAGTTAGTTGAATTCCATATTAAACAAACCAAAATCAAATCAGAACTAATTAATTAATGGCAGTGTTGATAGCAAAGTTAATTAAAATATTAATACAAACTTAAGGTACATAATTATGATACATCGTAAGTTAGAAGTAAACATTCATCCTTATAGCACCATTGTCAGCTAAAAAAAAAAAAAAAAAGCTAGAGTAACCAAAGTAAGGAAGGCTGTAAACTGATCGTCATGCAGTCAAATAGAAGGATACTGATAAAGGTAAAATATCAGGGGAAACCTCAGCTTGTAAATTATGTAATGGGAGGAATCTCAACTGGAAGAAGCACACCCTTATCATCAGTGAATATAGTATTACACTAGGAACACTAATAAGAGGTCACATGTAAACATCACCAAACATCTGGGCTTCACACATTTAAGCTATCACACCACAACATGTCTATTACAGACTTGATATTTTAAACTACTGCTTCACCTACAACAAGTTTCCCAGAAGTTGGTCTCAACAACCACAAACTTACATTAAGCAAAACAATGTTTCTTTCGGACACAGTATGCATTAAATTCACATTATTGCTGTCAAAATTATTATACTAAAATAATCTCTTTAGCATTTACAAGGCTGCTTTGAAGAGAGATTGTGAACGAACACATTGGATTGATTATACATTGATGTCAGAGAGCAAAGTATCATGTGGCATTTCTAGCAGCCAAGAGTTTACAATGGTCACCTTGTAATAACTATGACAACCTTCATGGAAACAACAGGATTCCTTGGACTAGGATACAAGAAGACACATGGTATTGTTGAAGTAATGACATTCTGAGGTGGCAGGGGGCACAATTACCTCTGAACCTGAGGGGGCTCAGCACATGCTCACTGCAACAAGGCACAATTATCCCTTCTGAACAGACTGTCCTATTTATCACCAACAATAAAGCTGTGACAGTGGAGGGATAAGTCTTGAAATATTTGTGGCTGCAGAGACAGTAATGACACTGTAGGAGACTGGGGTAGTGGCAGTTTTGATGGCATCCCTGTTTTCCACCTGCTGGAAGACTAGTCCATATGATGGCAACAGCGAAGTGGTTTTTAGCACTATAGGTTAACCCCTACGACGTCCTCTTCCCTTTTCTCTCTGCCTCCTGCAATTTTATGTAATTAAGTTAAGACATTCATTAAAGAAAGGGTTTTAAGTGAACAAGAGCACTCTGAAATAAAACATACATTTCAAATTTAGTATGCAGTATGATTAGATATTTACAGTAAAGATTAGAGATCACATGTTCTTAGTGTATATATATATATATATATATATATATATATATATATATATATATATATATATATATATATATATATATATATATATATATATATATATATATATATATATATATATATATATATATATATATATATATATATATATATATATATATATATATATATATATATATATATATATATATATATATATATATATATATATATATATATATATATATATATATATATATATATATATATATATATATATATATATATATATATATATATATATATATATATATATATATATATACAGGCACTTCTCAATTTATGCGATAATTACGTACTTGAAAATGGTCTTGTAAATAAATAAAATAATGTAAATAGTGGTGATGAGGAGGTTTTGTTATTAATAAGAGTACAGTACCCAATATTATATTCCAGTGAAAAACTACAGTATACACGTACCAGGAAATATAAAATACTGTACTCTGGGCCTTTGCTTGTATCTAAAGTATGCTGGCGGGAACATTTTCAGGAGTTTGGTGTTTGATCCATGTGCTCAACATTCGTTCCATTCTTTCCATTATAGAACTTTGGGAATATGAGGTCTTAGATGCATTGATTAATGTTCCAATCTTGACACTCTCCTTGGTCTTCTCTACACTATCATGAATAGTCCGTAAAGTAGATCCACTAAATTCAAGGGCATGCTTAATATCAGCTGTTCATTCACCTCTCTCATAACATTCGAGCACATCCATCTTAATCTCAATAGTCATGGCTTTACACTTCTTAGCACCACTGATACAGTTGCAGAAATGTGTTCCTACATCCCATGGTAACCAGTGTCTCCAAACGACCAACCTATATGACCTATAGCAAACTTGTCTATCAGTCACATCAGTCGTTACACGACCAATGCCCATTCATTCATAAATAGTGATACTACTGCTACGATGTTGCCATTTGGAGATATGGGTTACAACAGAGGGTGTAAGAACACATTTCTGCAACTGTACCAGGAGAACTTAATGGATGCTTTAGTGACATGATGGAAGGGGCAAAACATGTGCAATATATTGTATAGTATATTGCAGAAAAAATAGTGTAACACTCTGTGACTATAGACTGTATCCACACGAGGGAGGAAGTTGCATACTCATGCCAAACGTACACACGCTTCTCGAATGGCGCTGGCAACGCCACACCACCATGCTGCCAGCCCCCTATGATGATGTTTGTCGATGGTCACATTATTCCAAACATAAGCCCACAAAAAAGAAAAAAAAGGCGTTAATGCACAGCGAGCATTATTCTAAAATTGGCGTAAAATAAACACGCATAAATCAAGTTGTGCCTGTACTTAACATATTTATGATAAACATTTCAATTGGGTTAGCCAGTTTGACAATAGTAATAGCATCTATTACCTTGTTAGTTAATGTTAGTGAGGGGGAGATGTAGCATTAAGATGAGGGGAAACACCATTCTTGATGACTTCTGCATTAGAGAAGAGGAAGAAGAGGAATGGGGCAAGGAAAAGGATGGTGGAGAAACTGTAGATGATACTACATTAAAGGTTGAACTGTATTGGAAGGACAGAGATGGGAAAACTAAAGAAAAATAATCTAACTCCGAGGACTGAGGTGGGACAACAGCAATATCTGGAGCTTCTCTACGCGCTGTCTTCCGATACCTGGGAAGAATCAGGCAGAGGTAACTGTAGATACATGCACTGACACATATTAAATAAATTCCACCTGCTTTGTAGACATTTTAAAATGTTTTAAGTAAGCTGACTTAAACATAATTTACAGAGAATAAAATAGTTAAGAATATGTCCAGTATACAGTATACAGGTATACCTCAATTTATGATAAGGTTGTGTTCTTGATAACTCTATTGCAAATTAAATCACATTTATCCATTGAATATCATCATAAATTAGTAGATTCCTTCCACAGAAAAAACTATTAAACATGAAATAAATTGATACTTTCCAACACAACTTAAATATGGACATGATCTTTTGTCAGCCTCATTCCTCCTTATCACTCCTAACTTTTGATATAAACGATGACTTTGTGGGGTTGCTTACCGCATACAGAGTATTATATATATATATATATATATATATATATATATATATATATATATATATATATATATATATATATATATATATATATATATATATATATATATATATATATATATATATATATATATATATATATATATATATATATATATATATATATATATATATATATATATATATATATATATATATATATATAATTTTAATATACAGTATACAAGTTGTTTATAAAGTTATCATATATTGAGGTATATCTGTATATAAAAAAAAACTACTTTTTCCCACTATCATCACACCTCCTCACCACCATCAACACACTCCTCCACTACTACCATTGATACACTCCCTCACCATCAACATTCAACATTCTCCCTCACCACCATCAACTCTTCCTCATTCTCCCATCACCATCACAATTAATACTATCCTCCAGCAGCAATAGTAAGTATTTTCTTAAATTAAACAAAGCAAATTTGACTTTAAATGAACTAATTTTCATTAAGCTTTATCAATAAAAACAAAACGTCCCAATTTGGCAAAAACATAAGTTGCATTTTAAGGCTCCTTTTGACAATATACCCTATTTTGTGTTTGAGTAAGAGTATGTGCAGAGATGAGGGAGAGGAAAGAAGGAGATAGAGAGAGTAGTGCAATGAAATTCTACTACTGTACTAATATGTAACATTATATAAAAATATACATCAATACAAATAATTTCCCTCACATCTCACAACTCTTAATTGTACACATAATATTGGCAAACAAGTCATATATCTACAGAATGCTCATTTTAAATACCAATCAAATTAGTAAAGCACGTGGCCTGTCATCTATGCATAGTGATGTGTTATATGACAAAAAAAATCTTGACTACATAGTTTTGGCTCTACCCTTCTGGAAGCTATTGGTATAATGGGTCAAATATTGTACAGTAGCTAAAACAACTATCTGTGCATACTTTGTGGGAAACAATATGAGGCCATGGAAGATAAATATTCGTATATGAGGGCTGTCACTAGTCACACGTAAAATTTCAGAGCATATCGACCCCCACTTGCACAGATAGTTGTTTTAGCTACTGTACATGCTGTATTTTATCAATAGAGATAATGATCAAGACATTTTCATGTTTTATAACAGCTTTACAATCCACAATGCCATACCAAAGTAATATGAACACTGGAAACTTGAGTGCTTTTAATGCAATTGTTTTATCCTGCTCTATCATGCACAAAGATAACTCCTACCCCAATTTTTTTATCCTGCTCCATCATGCACAAAGATAACTCCTACCCCAATTTTTTTATCCTGCTCCATCATGCACAAAGATAACTCCTACCTCAATTGTTTTATCCTGCTCCATCATGCACAAAGATAACTCCTACCCCAATTGTTTTATCCTGCTCCATCATGCACAAAGATAACTCCTACCCCAATTGTTTTATCCTGCTCCATCATGCACAAAGATAACTCCTACCCCAATCCATTACAAAATATGAAAAACAAAAATAGTAGCCAGATATATCCTAGTATTACTGGCACTAAATATATTCTGATACTGTACTGTATACAGTGCGTCCTTGCACATATGACACAATTCATTCCTGAAAGCACATCGTCTGTTAAGAATAAGTTGGATTGTATTTTCCCATACGAACAATGTTATACAGAAGCATCATGCAATTATGTGCATTATAATGAGGATTTTGTTATAGAGCAGCAACCTAAACTGCCTCCATATACATGTACAGGTATCCCTCCCTACATGAAAGGGTTAGGTTCCTTGAAAACCATTTGTAAGTGTATTTTTGTATCTCAAATATCATAACATATGGGAAAATTGGGTTCAGTTCCCCAATAACAAGAAAACCCCAATATTACACGGAAAAAAAGAAACTGGTTCACAAACAACAACTAATGTATTTCAAGGCCTAAGTACAAGAAACCCCCAATATTATACTCAAAACTAATGAAATAGGCCATGCCGTTCCCACATTTTTGGGGGTTATTAGTTCAAGCTTGTTTTCATTTCTCAAAGATTTAAGAGGTCTCTTAATGATGGTGGGTGGAGCCAAAGAATCAACACAATGCTTAGATAACATTGTGAAAAGATTCATGAAAGGATAGCACAAATACACATGGCTAAAAGAGCACTGCTCTTGAATAAAGCATTAAGGGAATATGGCTGCCAGACAAGTGGTCTGAGGGTGATGAGCAGTTAAAGAGGGTGACACAAATAAGCTTGAATGAGCTGAAATAAGAATAATGAGATGGATGTGTAATGTGACATTGAAAGATAGGAAACCCTGCTTAGAGTTAAGAGAGCAACTGGATGCTGAGAATATTGGTGAGATTTTGCATAAAGGTTAAGTGAGATGGTTTGGGCATACTGAGAGATTGGCAGAAACTAACTGGATCAAGAGATGCATGAGTTTGAATGTGGGAGGGGGGGGAGGAGAAATAGTAGTCCAGTGTAATTACGATTTGTCTAGATATTTAAACTAACAAGCTGAAACTTTGAGATTATGTAGAGTAGACCTTCCTAACTTATATACTTAAAGTCCCCCAAAATCTGGCTACAAGTTTTCTCGTTATCGTTAACAATTGGCAACCATCTTTAATTTTGACATGATTTTTTTTATTGCCACTAGCAGGCAAACTAACGGACTCTTCGAGTTAATTTTTTTGGGGAAAAAATTTATCTTGGTGTGCTCTTTAAATCCCATCTCCTTTAATTGATACAAAATAAAACAATTAAAATCCTTCAGTAATAATAATGCAAAAATTAAATTTTATTGCAGATGCAAAAATTAAATATTTTTGTTCCTTTTTTGGTTGGGCATAAATAGAAATTGTCTTTAGATAGAAGTTATAGAAAACTTCAAAGCTAATACAAACTCATAAAATATACTAACACCCTGCATTGATGGTTTTTTATTAGCTTGGGGACCTTCTGTGCATAACCATAAAGTTTCAGCTTGTTAGTCAAAATGTATTGGCCATAATGCAATTGCAACATCCTGTGTTGACGAACCCCTAAAAAATTACATGAAGGCATGCTATGTACAGTATCTCTGTTTGAGATTGCTCCAACATTGGATGATGATGTACAATCTAGTGCCTTGCAGGATGTTGTGCATCTTTTGGAAAGAAGATTAGAAAAGACAGGATCTTGTGGCCAAACTAAAAAGCTGTGGGTTCAGTACATTAAGCTTGTTGGCATCATGAAGGTTTTTGTAAGAGCAGAATGTTGTGGTGACTGGAGGCTCCAGCTGTATAGTGTACAACTCCTGGTTCCATACCTACACGCTGCTGGGCATCTGCATTACGCAGAGTCAACGCAAATCTACCTACAGTACAGCAGATGCTTAGACTGGATGCCATCATGAAACCAGAAAAATATGACAAGTTCACCAAGCAAGGCTATTTCATAGTGCGAAGATCTGACAAGTACTGGTGGTCAGGAATCTGGACTGACATGACGATAGAGTAGGTCCCTATGCGCTCCCTGAAAACTACTGGAAATCTGACTCGAAGGCATGGTATTTTACCCCTAATTACAGCAAATGGGTCCATTCAATGCCTGCAGCATCCAGAGTAGTTGATGCTATGGAACTCTTCAGTGAGGTGATTAGTGCCACTTCTGAGCAGCATATTGTCCTGTGTGAGTCTCGACAAAGTTGCGACCTTGCTGACACAAAGATTTTCCTGGACTGGTTACACCTCCACAATCCATTCAATTGAGCCACACCTCTCTTAACCTACTTGGCGAGTGGTGTCGTGGCCAATGAAGGTGTGAATTGTGATGACACCCGGTCATTTGGAGAATCATCTATGGAGATAATTTGACATCTGGGGCTGATCTTTCAATTCCCTATCCCTCTCCATCACAGCAATTGCTATTAAAAGGTAGATTGTCTGAAAGGTTACATTCTAGAAGCATGAGGTTTAAAAATCAGCCATTGCTTTAGCCATGTGCCAACATTCTGACTTTAGAGCCAATCTGCCATTTTGGATTTAGTTTCCAATTGACCACCCATGAAACCAAAGTAGGAAAGAGAATGTCCCAATTGCTGGCCATGGGTTCACAAACAAAACAGAATTTCAGGAATCAGCTCTCCATATCTAGGTTGATAGCCTCTGTCAGGTGGTTCTTGTTAATGAAAGTCTACCAGAAAAGTGAGAGGTGGTGGTGCAATCAATGATCCAAGGAATAGGAAAACATGTTCTAGATATCAGTGGCTCATATTTCTCTGAGCTTTCAGGATAGAACCAAAGAACTGTATGAGACAGGGGAGTTAATGGTTAGTACTCCACCCTATCTTTTACTTTTTCATCAAAATCATGAAAAATGGCCATAAAATGATGGAGTTGATCAAAACAGTGGTGGGTGATCTACAGTCACAGACCACCTAAATGGCATAGATATTAACAGAAGCCACTTAGTGGAGGGCACTAAGCTATAAAACAGGATATTACAAGTTCACTCCGTTCTTTTCTTTATGTGTCTTTGTGGCACAGTTGATTGGTAATAGAGTTAAAATTGTTATCATGATTCAAGAGTATGTATTTTGCATTTGATATAAACGTGAATTAAAAGTGTTAGAAGGAATTAATGATAAATCCCATTGAAATATTAAATAGCAAGGCTGAATCATGTGATTATATATCTCTAATATAAAATATTTGTTTGTAAGATCTGTCTGTCAGTATTAAAGAATTTCTTTTTCTTACCAAAATTGGCAATTAAGCTCTGCTTAGCCATGTATGTTCTTTCGTGATGTATGAACAGTCTTCTTTCTACTGATGACTGTCCTGCGGTTGTAATTCCTTCCATTGGTGAAATCTCTCTCTTGAAAGCTGTTGGTTACATGCATATTTCCCGTGGTTCTGGAACTACAGTTATAGGATGATAAGGGATTTGAAGGCATTCATTAATGATAAGTAGGAAAAATCAAACTTAGTAAATTTAAATTAGCAAAGGAAAGGGGGAAGACTATTAAAGTTAACAAATAAAAGGCTGGGAAAAACAAAAAATTATGCCTACAAGGTATTTAAAAAGGAAGTGCACTGAGCTCAATCATTTGAATATTAATCATTATATATTTTATACATAATCATAACCAAGGTAAATTATTATCCCTACCTTGATTTAATTCAGATTGTTTAAAAAAAAATATTTACTGATATTGTATGTACCCATCTCCATTATGATCTACAGGTACAGTACTGTACCTTTACTATCATACAGTTTTCAATCCAATCTCAATTTCTGCATCATTCAAGGGATTAATTTCTTCCACATATTATTATTATACAGGAATACCCAGGTTATCACAAAGCATGCGTTACTAATCAATGTGATAGTAATAGTTTCACTAGACGTGGGACACGGGAAACTGTAGCAGCTGACTTCCCCAACGCTGCTCCCTCCTCCTCCTCCCATGATCAGTTCGCTAACTCCCGTGCATGCAAGAAATGTTTATTCCCTTTATGTTTTTGGCCTTATATATTTTTTTTGCACATTCTGTGCACGTAAGAATAAAAACAAACAAACTTACATCTACCCAAAATTACGAGTTGAAAAATAACAATATAGGTACCCCCCTATATACGATGGCTTAAGGTTCCTGAAAAACCCATCACAGGTAAAAATATCATAAATCAAGATCATTACAAGATGGGGTTCAATGGGATTCTTTCCCAGCCAGTCCAAGATCCACATGTATTACAAACTGGGTGAAAAAAATCCTACACTAATATTTTATATGCATAAAACAGTTAAACAACAATCACCACATCACTAAGAACAAGCCTGGTCATCATTACAAGTCCCTTTCGAGGCTAAAGGGACTTTTGAACGTAGAGTGGAGACGGCACTCTGACTCCCACAAAGCCTCTGGGGAGTCTAATGTCACTTCACAATGTCAAGCTTCACCTCCAGAGAGACAGTTTTCCTGGGTGTCTTGGCCTTCCCAGACATTTTCAAAAGTTACACTGCTCACTTCAATTACAAAAACAGAGCAAAAGCAGTTGTCACAAAATTAGAGTGAATGATGATAACATAAAAACAATGATAGCGGCCGACATTGTTCACATCATGTTGAAAACAAGAGACAAAGCATTTTACAGTCACAAAAAACAGCAAAAATCACTTCACAGTCAAACAGAGAACAATGTAAATGTTAGTGATGTCCTCTCACTGGAAGGTGTAAAAAAACAAAAAACAAAAAAACACTGATGATAAGTAACAACACTAATACTGGCTGATAATCGTTGAGTTACACGGCCATGTGCGATCACCATGGGACATAGCTTGGTACTGTAGTGTAGCGGGTGGCTGTGTGGTGGCGCTTGGGTAGACTTCAACTGACAAGTGAACTGAGAAATGTGTCTGCTTTGACCAGACGATGACCATTGCTCATGTGGATTCTTTACGTCGTAAATAGGGGTTGGTCTTAATACATCACCCTTGTTAACGCGGGATATTGTAGATCGGGAGATACCTGTAATGCCGCTCACAGCTTGGCCTGGTAGGGGGAGGCTAGATCCCCGACACAGCACCCCCCTCCTGCTCCAACGATCTGCGCACTAACTCCCGCGGACATAAGAATGTTTCCTTTGAGAGATATTCATGGTAGCATTAACTTTATGCAATTATCTACTTTAAGAAAGCCTCAAGAACTTAAATTTTTTGGTCGACTGATACTTAACTGTAATAACTCTACCATATACTTTCCCTGAAGTACAGGTACTGTACTCGCCAGAATTATTCCTCTATAATTCTTTCATTCAGTCTTATCCCCTTTCCCTTCATAAAGAGGAAATATAAATGCTCTATGTCATTCCACTGACATCCTTCCCTCTCAAATATAAGATGATGTACACTCTTATCATCCTTCTATCCTTATTTCACCTCCCATTCTTAATACCTGTACAGTATTTCAATGGGAATTCCACCCACTCCTGATCTTATTTACAGCTAATCTCATTTTCTCCTTTGTAATAATTTTTCCTCCATCTTTTTGACACTTCAATTATATACACTGAAAATACAGTAATTCTGCCTCTCAATTGTTACATTTACCAGGTTTCCAAATATTTTCCCAATCTTTTTTTCTTTTTCTTTATTCTGAAATATATACAGTCTTTCATTCTTAACTGCCATTTCCATTTGTCCTCTTGGTTTCTTAACCTATTAAGTTCCTTATAAAACAACATTGAATTATCTTTAAACTTAGTGATATTAGTTCTTCTAATCCTTCTGTTGCACTATTTTATTATTTTCTTTACTCTCCTAATATTTCTGTACTACTCCCTTCTTTCATCACTCCTTTCTACCAAATGGCACTATAATGCCCTTCTCTTCTCCCTAGTGAGCACAGCCAACCTTTCATCCTACCATTACCTTTTTTCAATCTTTCATATTTTGTTGTGTCCTCACACTTAAGCTGCAATTTCTAGGATTGCACTCTTAAACTACTGCATTATCTTTCTTCTACATACCATCCCATTCAAAAATTAACCCATTTACAAGTGCCTACCTTGCCCTAATCATTTTCTATACTTCATAAAAATTTCAATTTCAAATTTGTTACAGTATATTGTGTTCAAGACTGAACAATATACTGTACTTGCTTAAATGAAGTAAAGTACCTGTATAGAGCTGCAACGTTACAGTACATTCTTTTCTAGTATGCAATATTAATGTCTGCAAAATGCAAGAACAGGCATTCAGTTCAATGTACTGTACTGTACTTGCAAATAAAAAAATCCTAACTCAGCAAACATAATCATGATAGGATGTCATTATTGTAATCTGAAGAGATGTAGGTTAAGATTAATTCTAAGACAATATTATTTCTTGATAACAACATACTAATTTATGAAGTATGGTGCTTTAATTCTAAATCATTGAATTTTGTTAAATAAGTGAAGATTCTAAGGTTATGTGAAGTAATATTTTACTTCGAGAAGAGGTTTTTAATGATATAGTACAGTACTGTATAAATAAGTTGAATTATTACCTGTCTTTTACTAATACGCACATCACAACATCCACATTGAGTAAATTACTTAAAGAATATCATGACAGCTTATCCATGCAGTCCAGAACATGCTATTTAGGCAAAGGAAACAATCGTGTTATACATATAACTGTTGATGCTACAGAAAACTGTAGGTGAGATAAAGGCCATATTTTGGAAATTAAGGAGAAATAGTGTTAAAAATTTAATAATATGCATGATTACAATGTATACCATGCATGTATAGTTATCTTACCTCGGGCATGGAGTGACATTAATGCCTGAGAGGGCCAAATCCATAAAGTTGACCACTGTTTCTTCACCAATAATTAGCCTATGGATACAACCCTCAAAGCCACTGGTGTGTGCTCCATCAGTCATAACCTGGAAGTCTGGTACTCCTCCTGATAACAGTTAAAAAAAATTACTTCCCATTTTATTGAAACTGTAGTTAAAATTCAATCAAAATATTTGAAACCTGTAATATTTAATAAGTTTCTAAAAACTTCTTGCTCTGAAATGTGACTTTGGGGTACTCACCAATATATATATTGCCCTTTGCATTGAGCATGTGGAGAACACCTGGGCTCTCCCCAGTCTCAGGCGAAGATCTATCTAATTTCAAATAGCCTTCCCGTCCAGTACGTCTGACTATCAATGTATGCCGCTCTCCGTCATTTACTTGACTTGAAGACCGAACCACTGCAGGCCCAGTTCCTAATTCATAGCTTAATTCAACATAGCCACCTCTAACTGAAATGGAAATTTGATTATTACTACTATTTGAAGTGAATTTCACACTCTACCAGTAACCATATTTTACAACATTTTATGTACAGTAGCTAATGAATATTTTTTAAATATGCATTAAAAAAATAAATCACTGATGCACACCCTGTCCTATTTTAACACATGGTGGCCTGAAGCAAGAACACAGATTCTCCTGATTCACTGCCATTCATTTATATTAAAACTGATAGTAGCCATACCTGATGTGTTGTACTCCTTCCATGAAGTGGTCCAAATATTTCCACCTGATCTATCCCTGTTACTTCATATATTACCACAACATCAGACACCAGTAATATAGCTATTTACATAAATCACTGAACACAATGCTTTCTCATCATGCACACATATTGCTACTTCGTAGATGTCTATCCTTCTCCAATCCAGCACACTCTTATCTCACTTAGCACTAACCCTTTAAATGATGATTCAATGTACAGTACTTGTATATGTCATTGGGTGGAGTGACAAGGGGAGGACAGTGCAGTACACACGAGAGAACTGTCTAACCTCGGAGTGTGTGCAGGATATACGCATCTGCCAACGGTTGGTCAAAATAATTCTAACAGCCTTGCGGATAGCTGAATTCCGATCGTGAATCTTGAATAAAGGGTCACTAATAATGGGTGACCTGACATTGCATCAAAAGGTCAGTAATATGAGACCACTAATTCCCCACCCCCTACCGCTTGACATTTCATGAGGTCAGGTCAATAACATGAAATCCACTAATCTCCACAGCTTCATATGAATGGAAAACACCAGTCTTTGCTGTAACACACAGCTTCATTCACAACGCACCTTGCATGCCCGTATCATATAGTGTTTTAGTTTTTAAATGTATTTATTTAACCAAACTTTTAGATAAACTATTCAGGATTACTTTAGTAAAGAAATTGAGTTTCAAACTAATTAGAACTGCTTTTATAGACTCCAGTATCAACATTTCCTAAATTTTTTTTATAAAGGAATGGAATCCCCATCATTATATTGTGTCAAAATATTTTGTTTAAAGATCTCTTATTGGAAACATCTTATAGAGAATTTATCCTTGATCATTATCATTGCAAATTAATCTCTCTAACACAATTAGAACAGATGCTGTTATTAAAAGTTTATAAATTTTTTTGCGAGTCAAATATTTTCGCTCGTGCCTGCAGTCTAGATGTAATGGGCGAGTGTTTGTCTGTGCAAAATGAGGTGCGTAGTTTAGAGTCAATACGAGATGCTAGTTTAGACTCTACAAAAGCTTTCCCAAGCATCCAGAAACATTCTGGGGATGTGGGCTAGTGTCTGTCTGTCTGTGGAAGATACATAGTTTAGACTCTCGGAAACATTTCCCAATTGTACAGTACCTGGAAAAATTCTGGGGATGTGGAATTTTTCTGTGTTTGAGAGAGTCGTCTCGTTACTCGGAAATCTCTCATCCCCAGAAGAGCTCTACACCAATTGTTCCGGCTAATGGAGATATCACCGTACATGACCGCGAAATTAAAAAAAAGAAAAGAAAAAAACAGGTAGTAATAGAGGTATTGTACCCATGGATTTAACAATGTGAATTTGTTTCTTGCAAATTATCGTGACTCCACTGTATAACAAATTATTGCTTTTGGCAAGTTCATCAGTTTTAAAGCACTGGGTCTATAGTTCTACTTTTAATTGACACAGCAATCATCATATGGTCAAATAAGCCCATTTCATGGCAGCCCTGTGAGATTGTTTGTTGACTTGTTGACCTATTCGTATTTTCCAAAGTAGGCCAATCGACGATCATTATTTGAAATGAATGCATCAGCAACAGACTTCAGGTTCATCTTGTCCAACCTGTCCTTGTGAATGTGTGGCAAAGTGACGATGTTAAGCCATGCTTGTCCCCACAATGAACATAGATACATTTTAAGGCACTGTAAGACACTGAATGTATGTTCTGCCATTGCAATCATCACTGGTATGGCAATAAATAAGTTCACCAGTGTGCATACGTCGCTAAACGGGACAGGAGTTTTTCTGATGAGCTGAACTACTTTCCTTTACGTTCTTGGTTTTCTCAGTTGCTCCCATCTGAATCTTCATGTCAAGGAACATTTTTAGCTGGTACTGCAATCTGCTAGAATTGATATCGCCCTCATAAACATTATGAAGCTCATCTGGCAAACTTGCATCTTCTCCCAGCAGAAATAACCATGTAATTTGTCAGTAGGAAAGTGCTGTCATTGAAACGTGCCCTATGTTGACTCAGATGGCTGTCCAAAACCTCGAAGGACTGATGATAGTGATGATAGTAGTCAGAGGGTTATCCATACCACTGAATGGTCTCAGGAATACCATCCAGTATCTTTGGTGGCTTTCGATGACGCGATAGCCTCAGTTCTCTGATGAAATCGTGTTTTTCTGCATCAACACGAATCTCATCATACATTTTCTGAAACATATCCTCCTTCCATAAGCTATCCATGACTCTTTGTAATTCAAAATGCAATTGAATATTATTGATTACTGACTTTCCTCACTAATCTGTTAGCTCAGTTCAGAGTGGGATGGAGGCACAGTGTCCCATAGGTTTCACTGCCTAGTGGGTGGACCAATGAAGTTGACAGAGTGATAAAGGAGATAAGATTTTCTAAGTCCTAGAAGATGTGTAGTGAAGCAGAGGAGGCAGATGGCAGGAGGGTAGGAGTATGGCGGGAGTGGAGGAGGAGGGTGGGAGCAAAGGAGGGCGGGAGAGGAGGAGGGTGGTGAGTCACTGAGACTCTGCGCCGAGCCGAGAGAGTGTCCACACTTTAGCACAGCTATACATCCCTACATATGGTACCTCATATCTTCTTTTGCAGGATATTGGGGAAACTGAAGGCCCTGAAGCACCTGCTTGATTCCAGGCATTTCATTTAGAACAAAAGATACACAGACAGCCAGTCCAGCCAAATTAAGATCTTTGTGCTTTGCTTTAGTGTGCTTGGAAGTATATACTATAATCATTTTGAAACACTTCTCCACATTAAAATGTGTTGCTTTAGCCATGAGTGTCTAACAACAGAAATGGCGAAGATGTTCTAAAAGCCATTGGAAAGAAAGCTGTCACTAACGCCTCCTGTTTCCATCTTGTCGTTGTCAAAACAACATTTATACTGGTGCTAGGTAGACTGAGAAAGTTGCCAGTCGACAATCAGTCATTCATTTGAACGAATTTGACTGTGACTTGCACATATAGATGTCTCTTAATAACATTGTAATACTTTTTATAGTTATGCAAATTTGTACATAAATATTTGCATATCCTTTTTGATATTGCATTCATTAACAGACTGTAACAAACACTCTGAGAAGTAATTTATTTATGCTGAATAATTATAATTACAATCATTATAATTGACACCCAAGACTCTTCCCCAACAATTGTGTTGAATTTGGAATGTCTTCCTGACGAGGGGGCTGTATACACCCTTGACGTATTTGGAACGAGACAAATATATTATAATGTATGAAACAAGAAATTTACATAGAATGAACTCTATAAATTGGCCTTAATTATTAAAGCATGGTTATTCTGATTCAGTTAGTTGACTTGTCTATTATGCTTATTTATTATTTATTAATAAGGACAACTCAAATTAAATGGTTATACTTACGGGCAACACTGATGAAGTCCTGTCCACGTCCAGACACATTTGACTCTTGACCATACCAGAAAAGAAGGCCTTCAGGCTTTAGTGTTGAGAACTCGAAAGTGACTTTCTGAGGGGCTCCTCCCTCTTGTGGCAATAGTGACTGATCAAACTCAACCCAAGAATCACTTGAAAAGGAAGCCGAACCTTCAATTTCAACAGCTGATGTGGAGAAAAGAAATTATGAATTTTAAGAATGAATTATGATAGTACTTTACATTATAATTAATAATCATTTATATTTTATAAAATATACTGTACTACACACTTCCAAGACTTAGACATATGGTAAACTGAAATTTAATTAAAGCTTGAAATGTCTTGAGGTCCTCATTCATCCTATTCTTAAAGGGATAACACACAAGATACAAGACTGGAAAAAAATGTAGATCTCGGACATTTCTTTCTTTCTTGTACATATACTATAACATAGATATCACAGAAAACATTAAAAGTGCAAGCAAAGTGATTTATGTAAATCACAGAGGCTGATTGGTTTAGTAGAGTAAATACTGGTTAATTCATGGATTTTCAATCCACTTTTCATCAATCCAGTCTCATGAATTGTAGTACAAACTGTGCTTGTGCAATGCTAATAGAACTGTCTCTACGAATACCTCATAAGATTGATATTGTGCAAAAAAAAAAAAAATGAAAATATTATTTAAGTATGTTAACCCCTGCACTACAGATGTTCAATATATGTGGCAGATTTTTTCATTCTGTGTGCTGTGAGTGTGACATATACGGATGGGGCACGATGAAAATACTACACATGCTCTGGTGAGTAGCTTGGGGTTATAAGTCTATTGACACCACAAAATTTTCCCACATGAATGGGTGATTTTATTTCAACTCTGGTGGCCAATATCCATAATGCTATAAAGGAGAATACACTTCCAGGGTAGTAGCCCAAAACAAGAACTTTGTTGTTAATATGTTGGATGTAATTTATTTTTATAACTTAAAGGAGAGTAATGATGAACTTGGTGTATGTGTGATATGCAGGAAATTGTGCAAAAAAACAGTAGAAGAAAAAATAAAGGGTTTAAGTTCCTGTGATATTGAACCCAGTCTGAGCAGGCAAAGGCAGCATGGGAGAGAGGATGAAGAGTTGGCATTGAAATTAATGCATTTCATACATTACACATATGATTTAACAAACTTTGGTTTGACTTATGCATGTTCAGTAACAGAGAAACTGATAACTGTGCTCGATGATCTGCAAAGTAAATTCACAGAGAAATTTAATCCTTTGAATATCTTAGCATAACTGAAGGTCTGATATTTAAAAACTGCTACATAGAGATTTAATTTTTTTTAGGTCTCCCACTGTGAAAGGGTTAGAATGCTGTAATTCATAAGTACTGTAATAGTACCAGTAACAGTTAGGCCTTTAAACACATTGTAATACATGGTACAACAATCTATAATGAGTAACATCTTAAACGCAGCAGCGAAAGTGGAAACTGCAAATTTTTAATTTGCACCCTGTGTTGAAACAACTGAACTTGTGAAACTTGAGCAAAAGATGCGAATTTAAAATTTATGTTCTTCAAATCATTTAATATATAAGATGAATTGTTGAGATGCTTATCTAACTTGAAAATATTATAGTAAAGTACTGTAGTTAAAAATAAAATAAAACATAGTAAACGGAAACAAAATTTCATGTGTAGAGATATGTTCACTGTGGACTCTCACGAGCGGAACTCATATGAATACAGTATATGGCAAGTCTTGCCTTTGTGTGGTGCCCTCCTATGTATAGCAGATCAGTTAAAAATTTCCCTTCATCCACTAAACTTTAATTTATCCCATTACCATCTACAAGAGTGTTAGCTGGTTGGGTGTTTGGTCAAGTCTCTGTTGTACACTAATGGCAAATACTGGGTATGCATGGGGTTTTGAGTGTACCTGAACATGTTCCAATGTTGTCATGACATTTGCTGGCCACTTTTTCCACAAGATCACAACCCTTACGTTATCCACAAAATAGTATTGATCCTTGCAACCATTTTACTTGACTTTTAATAACAACATACATTAAGGATAATTAAAACATTGAAACAAATATAAACTATAATATGTCATCTAATGCTTTGTAATTTCTCCCATTGATTCAGCAAAATGTTAGGAAACAATCATGGTCCATCTCCATTGTGTGGATCTGCTTGGTCTCCTGCAGGTGAGGTACTGATGATGTGTTCTGTGTTGACAGCATCTGTTTAATTTGATTCCATGTGATCTCTTTCGGGTTTAGGTCCAGCGAGTTCCCAGGGCAGTCGAGCACTCAATATTCTTGCATATACTTTGTGAAGAGCAGTTTTTTGGCAACATGATGTGATGGCATGTTCAGCTCTTTTTGTAGTCAGTGTTGAATCATTTGCTCTGACCCATTGTGATGGATTTTCTTCATTTCTGCTGCAGATATTGTCAGATTATTCATCACTTATCATTCCATAAGCATCTCAATAGCTTTGGAAGTCTTTTTGGGCCTCCCAGGAAATTATTTCTGAGGTGGAACAAAACCTGACAGGAAAATTATGCCTTGCACTTCAGTCTTGATTGTTGGTGTACCTTGTTCTGGCACCTACCTACATGAGGTGGCTGAATGACAACAGCTCAAAATCCATAGATTTACCCACTGAAGTTGGCATCAAATCAAATTTTACATGAATTTTTTTGTTGTGACAAGATGCCTAGCTTCCCTAGCTACTCCAATAACACCCAGAAAACATTTGCCCACCCATGCTCTTAGTTACCCACCAGTCACCATACCTAAATGATTACATTGGTTGCATCTCCCCCTCTCCTGAGATAAGGTCTTGGAGGAAGACATCCCACTAATATATTTATTTGAGAGTGATAGTGCAGAGTGAATACACTAGTGATAATGAATCAGATATAAGTAATGATGATGATGGTCATATTGAATAAATGGATATTGATGATAATGAGGTAAAGGCTATGAGTGGTACTGTTGCAATTCCATCTCGTAGGCTATTGCTTGTGTCAACACTACCACCACCAGATGGTGAAACTCCCTCCTCTTCAATCTGCTATACAATGGAACAAGAGTACATGTACTCGTACTCAGGATTTTGTACCACAATTACAGAACCTCACCTACAGGAGGAGATAGAGCAGACCTGAACAATGGAGATGGGTCATGATTACTTCCAAACACTTGCTGAAACCATGACAAATTTATTTCCGCTGGTGATAAAATCAAAGCAAAACATGACAATATATTGCGTATTATTTAAAATATGCATGAGTTTAATTACCCTTAGATTTTTGTTAAAAGTCATGTGAAAAGGTAGCAGGGATCAAACAATTCTTGTGGGACACTGTATTTTCCAAAAGCGATAACAACTCTTAAAAAAAAATATAAAATAAAAAAAATAAAAAAAAAAGCATGAAGAATTATTCACTTTTCTTTAGTATGAAGAAATCTATATTTCCCAAGCTAAGAAGTGCCAGTGCATGGTCTATGTATGGGTTTAATAAACTAAAATATACTTACAATGTTCACAGTGATGTCCAGCAAAGCCAAGTGGACAGCGACAGGAGTAGTCATTTCCAGAGCCAATGCATACACCACCATTGCGACATGGCTGAACCATGGTGCACACTCCAGGCTCCACCTCACAGTCACGACCACTAGCGGATACGTTTAAGATGTTGAATAATAATATAAATATACAGTAGAGTGAAACCTCACTACTTCAAATTTCATGAACCCTTCAGGGGTAATTGCCTGAAAATTTTGGGTGACTACCCGCATAACAGATCTTTAACAAATAAAACAAGTAAATCTTAAAAGACTGATATCATCACAACCTATAAGACTTATGTTTATGAATTATTCATTAAAATGTCTTTACTAACCTGTAGCCTTCTTGGCATTTGCATACATATCCATGAGATGTAGAAGAGTCATCAGTGCAATGCCCATTATTTCTACAAGGGTTTCTACTACATACAGATGATGATCCTCCACACTGACCAACGTTGGCTGAATCAACCAGCGCCTCTGCTAGTCTGACATCCTGGTCCATTAATTTAATCTGAAAAAAAAAGGCAAGGAATGTATGCTCTTTCTCCTGTACATAGCATTACAGCAAGGATGTCAGACAGTTTACTCTGATTGAAATAAAAAAGCATTTTATATACTTACTGATTTATGTGTACAGATTGTGAACACATTGTACTACAACTACAATGTTGTGCTATGACTTGCTAAGTATATATATTTACACACACACACACACAAAAATACATAGTAGAATCCCAGTTATCCAGCACTTATGGGGATTGAGAGGTGCCGGATAAAGAGTTTTCCTGTTAGTTGAAAATCCCTATTACAATCCCCCAATAAATCCTATAATGCATGGTGCTACAGGCTGACCCCACAAATTCTTGTCTCAGAAAAACAAACTTCTTTAACTTATTCTACTCTATATAAATGATGTGGCTTAAATACAAAGAAAATACATAAAATTATAAAATAAGAAAAATGAGGAGTATGGGCGTGTATGAGTGGGAACTGAATATGGAGGCGGTGGGCTATAACTAAGGCCATTTTATAACTACGTTTCTGATTCGCTAGCGGGTGCCTCGTATATTTTTACTTGTAATGAAATGACATATATAAAAGTTGTGGAAAAATCATTACAATACTCTAACATGGTTTAGAAATGAAGAAAATATAGATATAAAGTTATAAAACAAGAAAATGAAGAGCATGGATGAGTTTAAGTGGGAAGTGAATGTGTTGAGGCAGTAGGTTACTGGACTATAACTGCATGGCCGCACTCCCTTCCAATGTGACGTCATGGCATATACACAGCCAGCGCAGCAGCCACATGTCTGTGAGTCAGCTGGGTGACTGCATGGCTGAACTGCGTTGAGTCGCCCAGAGGATGGTTTGAGTCTGGGAGAAGCTATTTTTTTTACATAAAATATATGCTATTGTATTTAATGATATGCTATGTATCAATTTTATTGTTTATTATAGCAGTAAATATGGCAGCTCATCCCTGCTGTGTGCATCATTCAAACTTACAATTGTAGTTAATTTTGAAGGAATTTTTATTTGTATTATCATTTAACTTTAGTGCCAGTTAGCTGAATCTGTCGGTTGCTCGGATACTGCCTAACTGGGATTTTACTCTTAATGTTTAATTTCTTTGAAAAGCATAAAATTAATTTAATACTGCACGTTTCATTACGTATTTTTTTAAAGGTTTAAATAAATAAATAAATAAATATTAATGAAAACAGTCAATCAAATGATGAAAATGTACTGGTAGTTTTCTCTAATGTGAATAGATGGCAGCAAGAGCAGCATATCATCTGTAGTATTAAAATAATTTTACCCCTAAGAAATTAAAAATTAATGATACAGAGTACCGTACGTATATCTATAATGTTCTTGCACTAATGTCGACGAGGATACGACCAGCGAGGAATAGGTTAAAGTAAACAGTTGTTAAGACATTTTTCTTGCTTCAACACTAACTTCATCATTTCAAAACACTTTTTAACAAATTACTCTGTAGGGTATATGTTAATAAACAATTTATAATACTCTAATGTGGCTAAGAAATAAAGAAAATATAACATAAATCTATAAAATAAGATAAGTGAAGAGCATAGGTGTGCAGGGGCATGTGTGGAGGCAGTGAGCTGTAATGTATCGTCGACTCATGCTTGTCCTCCTCCCCAATGTGATGTCACAGCATATACACACATTTCAGTTATCTGGCTGACTGCCGGGCTGAACTGTGTCACATCACCCAGATGATGGTTTGAGTGTGGAAGAAGTTATTTTTTGTACATAAAATATGTGCTATTGTATTTCATGATATGCTATGTACAAATTTTATTGTTTATCATACCTATTTTGGTTAACAAAGCAGTTATAGCACTACTGGTGGCAGACACGAATGAATGGCTTCAGTTGAGTTCAGATTGTTGGACTAAATTAGAATTTTTACTTAACAGGACCAAATGTGAACAAAGTTCAGATACTGGGATGATTCAGATAGTTGGAATTTGGATAAAATGAATCATACTGTAAATTAAATAAAGTCTACATCATTGGATTTACCATAAAAGTGGACTCGTTCTATATACAGTGGCCTGGGTCAGTACCGTGGAAAACAAATTTTACCAGGGGGTGCTGAATATTAAATCTGGTATCCTAGATACTGTGTGATGCAATGTATAGCACCTTATACCAAAAGTATTGAGCACCCTCCCTTCCTGCATCCATGTACTGGTTGGAGTGAGAGGGGTAGGATGGTGCGGCACACACAAGAGAACTGACTAACCACGGAGCGTGTGTGGGAGATGTGCATCTGCCAATGGTCAGTCAAAAAATTTCAAATAGCCTTGCAGATAGCTGAATTTCGATCACGAATCTTGAATAGTCACTAATAATTCTTCATGAATAAGTGATTTACCAAATAGCACATACGGGGGGGATGAGTGTTTATGCTGTTTTTGGGTAAGTGTAATGGGTATACGTAGGAATATATATTCATATATGTAATGGTATCATGACCCCTTTTAGTGCTGATTCAAATAGTGCTCTCTTTTCAAAGAACCTAACCCCAGTTACTAAATAAGGTCCATCTGTAACTGCAAAATAAAATGTTCAAAAATAAGATTAAAAAGGGGTAATATCAGATGGGAATGTACAGTTAACCCTCACTTTACGCGGTTAATGTAACCCGGAGGGTCCCGCGTAAAGTGAGAAACGCGTAAAGTGAATAACATAACATATGGGATTAATTGAAATGGAGTCCGGGCCGATCCCCAAACTCCACTTTTTGACGACACACAACTATGTTGTAGTAAAAATATTATCTTAACTTTATGATGGTATGCACACACAATTAATAATTAAGAGAAATATCAATAATATTAGGTTTTTAACACTTACATTAGTAGAAAAAATGGCTGGGCACACGGGGATGGGCGGTTGGTTCCGAGGCAGAGGGCAGATTATTGGCCCTCACCTGTGTCACTTGTATCAATTGTATCACTATCCACCACAGAGGCTTGCAGGGCCTCTTTGTCAAACTCCCCAAAGTCCATATAAGTCCATATCCTCACCATAATTATCACTATCACTGACTTGGGCCGGCTGTGGTGGGTGGCGGGTGAAGAACTGGTAATGTTTTGATGACTGGGCGACCTTGTGCGCACCATGTTCGCGCCGCTTACACAACATGGCGGATGGCGGGAGGTTTGGATCCAAAAATGGCACGGCTCACCAGCCGCTCTCCGCGTAAAGGGGTACACGCACCGCGGAATGTGAGCATCCTGGGTTCCGGCAGGGCACCGCGTAAACGTGGAAACGCGGAATGTGGGACCGCGTAAAGTGAGGGTTAACTGTAATGATATAATTCACACTATGTGAACAAATAAATCTTCATGTCTTACCTCTGATACACATCCTGTAAATCCACGCTTAACTCCTACTTCGGGGGATATTGCTATTCGAGAATGATCTATACCTCCAATGAATAGTGGGGTAACTAGGTTGAGTCCACGATTTGATCCTGGAGATTCACCATTTTGCATTGGGTTTTCATTGACCATCAGGGAGCCAAGACGATCTGTTCTGTTTGCACGGGCCTGTAATATTAAGAAAGGCGATGAAGAAATAATTGCTCACGATTTTTATAACAATACTTGCACTGTGCAAGTGGGCAGAACTGTCTATGCAATATTTCTTAATATAACAAATATTACAACAAATGCTGTCTAATCAGCAAAATAACTATTGTAAATCTGCAAAATTTGCAATGAAGAATAAAAATCCAAATGGCTGGTTATAAAGCCAGAATATGTATATGTACAGTATTTAAAATATTATAACACAAATGAGTTGGAATTGGGTGATTGAACTTTAAATATAATGCAATAGCGAAATATTAGCCAAATTAACATGGTATTTATTTGGGTGATAGTGATTTATCAATAACTTTTTTCAAATGTTTCCTTATTATGAAATTGCTACGACCATAAAAAGGAAACTCATTATATTTGCTATTATACAAAATACAATTCACTAATGTGATACAAAGACTTTTGCTTACAGACTTTCTAACTTTAATTAAAAAAGAATTAGAATTATTGGGCAAAAAATTTAGAAAAATGAACCTATTCCACAACTAGGATTAAAAACATGCAATAGGCACCTTCTTTGTCCTTAGACACATGCATAAATATAATTAAAAACTGACCTCAATCCACTGGCCTTGCTGAAGAGGTTCACTCTGAATAGTGGCAGTACCACTTCCAGTATTAAATCGGAATTCCAGACGTTTATTTCGAATTGCTAATGATGCAAAATCACCTTCTCCACTTTCTTTTTGTGCGCAGTACATCAATACCCCATCATCTAAATTCTGTAAAAAATGATAATCAATTATACAGGTACTTCATATTAACCAATAAATAAACAGGGGTGAGAGAATTATTTTAAAAATATTACATATACAAATAGTAGTCACTTGTTATATTATCATAATGGTTTCCAGAAAATGGTGAACTACGTGGACTAAGCTTAAAGATCAGTGAGACAACCCATGATATGTATTTTACTGCCTTCCAACCCCACTGAAAATCATCCGCATTTCACCCCACAACAAACAGAAATCTGACACTTTTAACCATTAAACTGTGATGTGCATCATATGAAGTTTTCCTCTGGACTGCTATATGCATCCCACGATAACATGATTTTCATGGGACTGTTTTAAAATTGTGAGTCAATATTGGCCTCATAAAGCATTTCAGATGTCCCAGACCTCCTCACGCTTCCCACACCTCAATAGGGTTCAGTTGCTTTTCAGTTATTATAGAAGATGCAAGTTTATTTGTCTTTAGTGACTGTCTGCCCCTGCTATGCCCAGATCCTCCCTCCTCCCGTTACCACCACTGAAGCGATAAGTACGCGACCCATGCACGTGGACTCAATGATGTTGAATGGTCAAAGCATACCAATACAATGTCAATGTTAACACATTACTCATGATTTGTGAATTAAAAGTCAGGTGACAAATAACAGCTTCATATCGTATACAATGGTAACAGCATTTACTACACACTTATGTGATAATTACGAAGACATATACATAATACTGTATCTCCCAATACATAACAGTTTAGAACAATAAAGATTCATATGAGAATAGACTTATGTGTAACAGGTTCTATATCTAGTCTATATGTGAAACGCGCAATGCTCCAGCTTGACAGCGTGTCTTGAACTCGCAACCGTTGGGTTCTTCACGCCGATCATCAATTCCGTTGTTGGTTATGGTTTCCCTGACCCATCTATGCGGATTTCTTTTCCCCATGGTGCTTGTACTGGCTTCGATCTTCCATGATTTAGCTCCACTAGTTGCCGATTCCGGTGGTGGCATAGTGGCCTTAAGTTGACTCATTCTTGGTCGCTTGTGGTCAGGTGATATGTCTATTTGGTAGGCGCCCCCAGTGATTGCTCTCTTCACCCTTTGGAAATTGGTCTGGTGTTCTCCTCTTTCAACTTCGCCCCGTTGCACCTTGCCACTGCTGATCAGAACTCCAGTGAAGTGTAGAAGCCTCGAGTGTGCTCCAGAGCAGCCATCTATACCACATACCATCTTTTGGCTGCACTCCGCTATCAGATGATTACGACCCAGGCAGGTGAAGCAGCGACGTTCTTCCTTTACGAGAGCAGTTCGCTTCCCTGTGGACATGCTGAGGAATGTCCGGCACATCTTAAGAAGGTGATATCCATGGCATAACGAGCACCGTTCATCGTCTGTTTCACTGGTTGGCTTTATTCCTGATGTCACTAAACCTACAAGTTTCTTCCTCGACGAGGATTGGCGTGAGGGTGAGTCTGCCTATATTCAGTTTGGTTCCTCCGGTCCTTGTCCCTTTAAGGCCTCCTCCACCTTGTCGACCATATCCATAGATAATTCCAACATCCACTAGATCTCAGGAGGCTTCCCTTGCTTCCTTTTGTATTTACGCACCTATGATTGGCGATATCGAAACTGGACCACCACAAATAGCAGGCAGGATGCTTATTAACTTAACCACAATAGGCCAAAAGCTACACCACCTTAACTAATCTATTGTAGCTCAGGCACCCTGCCCACTCACTGAGAGTCAATGGGTTAGGGTAGCCCACCCACACTCGGGTTCCAGACAGCTTATTTTTAATTGAGTTCCCAGCACAACAGTGTTGTAAATATATCAGAAACTGCATAATACACAGATGATTATTATTTGCTTTGGTTTACCTGTGTAAACATCAGAAGAGATCAAAGATTACCAAATGGTTGTGACCTAACATTAGCTCGCTTTCTACCACTGAAAATCTTATGATGATTACTTCCAATGCTTCTCTGTGATTTGTGACTGTAAATTACTGTGTTTATGTATTGTGGATAAACAAAATTTAGTGAGATAAATTTTTACTATAAGTAATCATTTTCAGCCTATAAGGAGGGTCAAGCTTACCCCAATAACAACCAGCTTAAAATAAAGTCAGCTTATCTCAAAGCCTTGCTGCAACTTAGAATACCATATAGTATATATATATATATACAGTCAACCCTCACTTTACGCGGTTAATGTAACCCACAGGGTACCGCGGAAAGTGAGAAACGCGTAAAGTGAATAACATAACATATGAGATTAAATGAAATAGGGACCAGCTGACCCCCAAACTCCACTTTTTCCAACACAATACCTATGTTCTAGTAAAAACAACATCTTAATTTTATGATGGTACATGCACACAATTAATACTTAAGAGAAATAGAGAAATACAGTCACCAAGTTAATGTCCATTCAAATAATGGACACGACTCCCTCCCCCTCTTCTCACACTACACTGCTGGCTCTTCCCTCTGAGAAATTTTGGGGGGAAAACCAGGTATAGTAATAAATAATACCTCAAACTAAAGTTAGGATAATATAATTGACATTGCTGGATTCCTTGTAAGACCAGGAATATTTTGAATATAAATGTCATATATTTTTCACAAAAGATAACATATTTACTCAGAGCAATCATTACATCTAAAATTTGTATGTCTAATGCAAAATCTATGATGTTTATTTTCAAAATGATCATCAAATTGTAAGAATTCCAGCAATGTAACTTATATTCTGGCCGGATAATTTGTATGAATTTTATGAGCTAAATAAAAAAATTATACTTCACCCGCGTAAAGGGGTACACGCACCGCGGAATGTGAGCATCCTGGGTTCTGGCAGGGCACCGCGTAAACGTGGAAACGCGGAATGTGGGACCGCGTAAAGTGAGGGTTGACTGTACAGTTTTACCCCGCCTAACGCGGTTTCACTTAACGCGTTTTCGCATATACGCGGTGCCTTGCCAAAGCTGAACTTTCACTTAACGCGGATTTTTTCCACATATACGCGGTGAGTGTCCGAGACGCTATTTTTAGATTTGCCCCACCCGCCACCCTGCCTGACTGCCTGTTTTAGCTCATAAAATTCATACAAATTACCAGGCCAGAATATAATTTACATTGCTGGAATTCTTATAATTTGGTGATCATTTTGAATATAAACATCATATATTTTGCTTTAAACTTACAATTTTTAGATACAAATTTTTCTCTAGGTAACTATGGTATCTTTTGTGCAAAATATATGACATTTATATTCAAAATATTCCTGGTCTTACAAGGAATCCAGCAATGTCAATTATATTATCCTAACTTTAGTTTGAGGTATTATTTATTAAAATTTAGTGGTTATCCCACACATCTCCTTGGGACGGTTGGTGGGGGGTGGGGGGGAGGGAGGGACCAACCGACCATCTGTTACCCTGTGAAGAATTATTATTTTTTTTTATTAACTGAAGATATTTGTTTTAGCTCATAAAATTCATACAAATTACCCGGTCAGAATATAATTTACATTGCTGGAATTCTTATAATTTGGTGATCATTTTGAATATAAACATCATAGATTTTGCTTTAAACTTACAATTTTTAGATAAAAATTTTTCTCTAGGTAACTATGGTATCTTTTGTGCAAAATATATGACATTTATATTCAAAATATTCCTGGTCTTACAAGGAATCCAGCAATGTCAATTATATTATCCTAACTTTAATCTGAGGTATTATTTAATACTAAATGTTAAAAACTCTGGAAGGGAGGATTGGTGGGGGGTGGGGGGGAGGGTTGGGACTGACCGCGCGGTTGGAAGAGGGGGGGAGGCAAGGTGGGGTACTTTGATTGACAGATAGTGTCGTGAAGATTATTTTTTTTTTTATTAACTGAAGATATTTGTTTTAGCTCATAAAATTCATACAAATTACCCGGTCAGAATATAATTTACATTGCTGGAATTCTTATAATTTGGTGATCATTTTGAATATAAACATCATATATTTTGCTTTAAACTTACAATTTTTAGATAAAAATTTTTTCTCTAGGTAACTATGTTATCTTTTGTCCAAAATATATGACATTTATATTCAAAATATTCCTGGTCTTACAAGGAATCCAGCAATGTCAATTATATTTTCCTAACTTTAGTTTGAGGTTATCCCACACATCTCCTTGGGACGGTTGGTGGGGGGTGGGGGGGGGGGGAGGGAGGGACCGACCGACCATCTGTTAGCCGGCTGTGTAGTGTGAGAGGGAGGGAGTTGAGTCCATTATTTGAATGGACATTAACTTGGCGACTGTATTTCTCTATTTCTCTTAAGTATTAATTGTGTGCATGTACCATCATAAAATTAAGATGTTATTTTTACTACAACATAGGTATGTGCGCTTCAAAAAGTGGAGTTTGGGGGTCGGGCCGGTTTCTATTGGAATTAATCCCATATGTTCTGTTGTTCACTTAACGCGGTTTTCACTTAACGGGACCCTCTGGGTTCAATTGACCGCGTTAAATTGGGTAGTATATATATATATATATATATATATATATATATATATATATATATATATATATATATATATATATATATATATATATATATATATATATATATATATATATATATATATATATATATATATATATATATATAGTAGTATATATATATATATATATATATATATATATATATATATATATATATATATATATATATATATATATATATATATATATATATATATATATCATGTAGATCCACAATGAAAACGTGGATAAGATAAATCTTGATAAAATCACACGGGAAAAGAACAGCATCTGAAAGCAGTGCCTTGTTTGTTCATGATAGGAATAATAATCATCCCATTGCTTGGGAAAAAAGCTTAGAAGTATCTAAATCATCTTGTGTCACAGAAAGACTTCTGGTTGAAGCTAGTTTGATTAAGGAATTAAAATCAATAAACCTTAGTGATGGTCAGTTCAAAACTGATAATATGTTACATAAATTTATTTGTCAGTGGCCCAAGGTTAAAAATGCTTTGAAAACCTTTGATCTAGATGTATGATAGTTATTTAGTGGGTCCCTTATTTTTTGACCTGACCTGACTAGTCACGTCACCCCCCTTCTCTTAAGCTCCTCTACATGTGTGTTGGTGTGGGGATTAGTGGATGACATCATTATGATCTGACCTCATGTTTTTTAGGTCACCCTGTATATTTAAGCCTCTCTGTCCATGTAATCCAGTTGCCTCTGAAGATGTCTTGAATAAAGACGGAAGCTAAGGTACTCCGTTGTTTCCATTTTCCCGTGTGATTTTATCAAGATATATATATATATATATATATATATATATATATATATATATATATATATATATATATATATATATATATATATATATATATATATATATATAATATATATATATATATATATATATATATATATATATATATATATTATATATATATATATATATATATATATATATATATATATATATATATATATATATATATATATATATATATATATATATATATATATATATATACAGTATTACCCCGCCTAACGCGGTTTCACTTAACGCGTTTTATCATATACGCGGTGCCTCGCCAGAGCTGAACTTTCACTTAACGCGGAATTTTTCATCATATACGCGGGAAGCGGCGCGGGCACGATGCGCACAAGGTCGCCCAGTCATCAAAACATTACCGAGTTCTTCACCCGCCACCCACCACAGCCGGCCCAAGTCAGTGATAGTGATAATTATAGTGAGGATATGGACTTATATGGCCTTTGAGGGGTTTGACAAATAGGCCCTGCAAGCCTCTGTGGTGGATAGTGATACAATTGATACAAGTGATACAGGTGAGGGCCAATAATCTGCCCTCTGCCTCGGAACCAACCCCCATCCCTGTGTGCCCAGCCATCTTTTCTACTAATGCAAGTGTTAAAAAACCTAATATTATTGATATTTCTCTTAATTATTAATTGTGTGTGCATACCATCATAAAGTTAAGATAAAATTTTTACTACAACATAGTTGTGTGTCGTCAAAAAGTGGAGTTTGGGGGTCGGGCCAGTCTCTATTGGAATTAATCCCATATGTTCTGTTGTTCACTTAACGCGGTTTTCACTTAACGCGGTACCCTGTGGGTCACTGTATATATATGTATATATATATATATATATATATATATACATATATATACAGTGACCCCTCCGTTAACGAACTCAATCCGTTCCAGAAGGTCGTTCGTTAACCGAAAAGTTCGTTAACCGAAACCATTGTTTCAATGGGTTTTTGGGTAACTGGTTCCAGCTCACCGAAAATTTCCTAAATTCAACAAAAATGGTAGAAAAGTTCACTTACTTTGAGGTGTGTATGTAGAAGGCTCCTGGATGATGATGATGGTGATGGGATTTAGAATGGGGGTGGAGGAGAAGGAAGAAGAGAAGGCATTGGGGTGGAAGAGAAGTCACCTCATGGCACCATTTCACCCATAAAATTTTAGCTCTCTGGTGTAATTCAAGATATTGTGAAGAGTGATTAAGTAATATATATATATATATATATATATATATATATATATATATATATATATATATATATATATATATATATATATATATATATATATATATATATATATATATATATATATATATATATATATATATATATATATATATACTTAATCACTCTTCACAATATTTTTCATACTTTTTTATTCCAAATGAGGGTAAAATGGTGTATAAAACCTTTTCCAGTACATGTTAGTTCCTGACCACATAATTTCATGTACTGTACAAGATAATAGAATGCTTGAAACACTTATTAAACAATCACAAATATTAGTGCATCTATCAGACCAGCAAGTTCTCTCTATTTTCTTAATCTAAGTGACATTTAAGAATGCAACCATACAATATTGTAATTACAAGTACAGAAGCACTTAAACCAAAGAAAGAAAAACATTAAAATGCAAAGGTGCATGATAAAATATAAATCTTTGAATAATTATGCAGTGTGAGAAAGTGAGAAAGCATAGTAAAAATAGCTATATATCATCACATCTATCACAGTAATTTTTCCAGGGGTCACCAAAACAAAGTGTTCTATTATATCAAATTTGTTTGCTTACAGGAAAACTGTGGGGCCTACCTCAGGTTTAAAGTTCATATCTACGGAAAACCGTCTTAGTGCTCTAGGTGTTGGGTATGCAATGTAAGCTTCATCACCAAATGCTGGCTCATGGATTGTGATGTCCTGTTCACAACGCTGTCCCAATTTACCAAATGGACAGTAACATTCAAATCCTCCAGGTTTGTTGACACAGCGACCAGTACCACACACACCTAAAGAATTGTAAATAAAAAAATATATATTAAGTGGTTGTAATCAAATGCAAATGGTTGAGGAAGCTTCAATACCCACACCTGGTAAAACAATGCAAAGTAGAAAAAACTGGGATTCCTACCCTCACTCTCAGCCCTGTGTTAGGTGAGTGCAACATGCAGTATATGGACTCGGATTTCTATGAATAAATCCGGACCCTTCAGGATAGGCAATAAATCTTCACCAGTGTACATAATTGGTTAGTATTAAATTCTACAACTATCAGGACCTGAAATCATGTGATCCTTATGTGAGAAAGTTATATGAGCAGTTGCAGTTAACTTCACTGCAGAAAATTTGTTTATTTCAGAATGAGGTGCACCAAGTCCAAAGCCTGCTCTGGAAATGGCAGAGATGGCTTCCGGTAAAAATATTTTCTGTCTCCAAAATTCTGTTTAAGCATAGCACTTTCTAGTACCCCATGGGCCAGCCACACGGTAACCATGCACATGCTGGCTGGGTGTGCACTCGCCATTGCTTCCTCCAGCACTGCTCCCACACACAGACATTCCTATTGGCCAGTCACGTAAAAGAAAAGTTGTCACTGGCTACCTTGTTACCCCTCACTCTCACCTCTCTGCATCACTAGTCTCTCTGCTTATGATTGTGTGTACAGTGCAAAATCTGCATATTATTGAATCATTGGTATGTACTTTATAAACATTTAATCATGCCAAGAGTGTTGCAAAAGAGTGGTAAGAGGATGGGAGAAAAGTATAAATGCATTGTTGTGAAAAGCTTGAAATCTTAGAAAAAAACAAAAAAGTAAGTACTGGTACAGTACTGAAGTGAATTTGTTACAGTACAGTACTGTTATGTGTAGTAGTGTGCAGTATTTTGTATTTGTGCGTGTACAGTATTACATAATTTGGGAATACAGTACAAGTCCTTTTATCCGAACTCCTCATAATTCCCATAATATTTAGGTTCATTTGGTAACAAGTTTATTAAAATCAAATTTTTAAATCATAAATTTTCCTGAAAAAAAAAAAAAAAATCCCACACACGACCTCAGATGAGTTAATGTATCCTCTCAAATTCTCAGTGCTTTGTTTACATGGCATGAACAGCTAACCAGCCACAGTCAGTCCAGCACCTGCCTGTCTTCATGTCTGGGAAGGACAAGGCACCCAGGAAAACCGTGTGACTGGAAGTGAAGCTCGACATTGTGAAGCGGCATGAGACTCCCCAGAGGCTGTGTGGGAGTCAAAATGATGTCTCTACTCCACCTTCAAGAGTCCCCTTAGCCTCAAAGGGGACGTGTATTGATGACCAGGCTTGTTCTTAGTGATGTGGCGAGTGTTGTTTACTTGTGTTGTAGTGCTAGAAGTATTCTATGATTTTTTTTTCAGTGATAACCATGGTTGTGCGACTGGCCAGGAACCTATTCTATTGAACACCATTTATAATGAACCTGATTTATGATATTTCGACCTGCAACTGGGTTTTCAGGAACCTAACCCCATCACAAACACTGTAGAGGTTTACCTATAACTGTTAAAATGCTTTATTTGTAATTCTAAGGATCTGATGATATGCTGTAGCATTTTTTATAATAAATAAAAAAATAAACAAAATAAATTCTTACCTGGATAGCAGGATTCGCCAGTGTCTTCACACAGCCCACCAGAGAACCCAGCTGGACATATACACTTATGACCCATTTCAGTGTATGCTTCTTGACACACTCCATTGTTTTGACATGGATTGCCAGCACAAGTTTCACAAGATGTTACTCTTACCTGTAGGAAGTTAATTCAAGTAAATTAGAAAACTTTTGAAAACCCTTACAAAATTCATAATTTAGTCCATTTGATTCTGTAGCCCTCAGGCCTCCTGATGGGTTTTCTCAATTTCACAAACTGAAATATATAAAGCAAGCAAAATTTCTGTTGGGTTGATATGACATGCAGGTCCAGAAACCCTAACTCTGACCATCAACCAGTTTCAGACAATACCAAAAGTCCTGTAACATAATCGAACAAACAAACTGGTTGGGTCAATATGTGCCAGTAGGAAAGTTTCATGCACCATGGCCTATGGCTATTCAACATGCTACTGTTTGAATTGTGGTAACAACCTCCATGTACAGTCACACCAAAATTAGAGATCTTTAAGAGTCAACCTGATGTCTTCTTGAGGAGGGTTCCTGATCAGTCCTCTGTCCCTTAGCAGTGACCTAAACAGCCAGTTCATATTGTGCATATAATAAAATGACCGTTGGCCTTGAGTAAATAAATGAACAAATAAATATTCATTAGATCATTACCTTATTTCTTGTGTCTCTCATTAAGTCTACAGTTACGGTGTTGCTGATCACTAGGCGACTTATACAGCCTCTGAATCCTGAAGAAAAGCCTGTCTGCTCATGAATTCTGCTGAAGTCTGGCACCCCACCTAAGTACATAAGCTCAACAAGGTCCAGGCCAATGAAGTGTCCTTCACTAAGGCCATGAACTGGTTTACTATTATCCACAATCATTTTTCCTGGAAGAAAACAAAAGTAAACACTTAAATATAATGATAGATATGGTACAGTCTTATATATGATAAACTTAGACAAGCATAATATTGTTAACCATAATAAAGAAATTAATTTCTAAATCTTAAATCAAATTAAATTTCAGCATTAAGTAGTATCACTCCTTGAAGCGAGAATACTATACTATATAACCAAATTCTATCTTGGAAGTTTTCGCACCCTTCAGAATCCAGTCTCCATAGATAAATGAGAGTTTCTCTGTCACTCCTGCAGTATGGTCATCTTTCTTATCTCAAATGCTACAGAGTCCAACTCACTCATAATTCTCTTTGCCTAAAGTGCTACTTAACCTTAAACACCATATGTACATCCAAAAATTTGATAAGTGTGGGCAGAGCCTGTCCCCTTTTTTTTTTTACCTTTTGACTACCCTCTTTAAACCTTAATTTTTTTTTGTCAGTAATTAAAAAATATAGGTAGGTGAACAAAGGAAAGCACATGGCCACAATGCCGCCCCCCCCAAGTATGTCATTGGTGTACAACACAAACCATCTTACTGCCTTCTGCTCATCCTTAAGCACAACAATTATATCTCTTAAAATAACCTCTTATAAAAACAATCTTGAGCTAATTACCATTACAACAATTATGCCACACGTGTAACTTTGAAGATACATTGCATTTCAATAACGGTAAGTGCTTTTACCTTCCTTTCGGTCTCTGGAGAGTTTCACAGTATGCCATTGATTGATTTCTAGGGGATACCTGGAGCGTATAATAGATGGCCCAGACCCAACATCAAAACGAAACTCTGCATGTCCTCCACTCATACCAAATGATACAAAGTCTCCATCTTCACGCCCGGCCCGTTGACTATTATACAGGATTAAACCTGAAAAGTTAGTTCCAAAGAAAAATTATTTGTGTGTAACAAGCTTTCAGCTAATCAGTGAGTAATGTTTCTTATACTGTATGGAATATGAGAATCAAAATTTCAATTTTTATTAGATTTTCTTTTAATATCTCATGTAATATGGATAATTCATAGATTAAAAAACCTATCACCAGTTTTTCATTGTTTTAACAGGAAACTGGAGAAGCATGAAAAGAATGTGCAAGGTATAAATATATATACAAACCATCTGCTGATTCCGGCTTGAACGAAATTTCCAGATCAAAAACGAGATAAGCCCTTGGCAGTGTTGGCAATGATAAATATGACGATTCTTCAAACCTAAAATGATAAGCAGAAGAAAGAATACATTCATTATTAACCAAAACCTTTCAAATTACAAAGAATTCCTAAAGGCAACAATGTATATGCCATACACAGAGGAAAATTACTGAATGTTTTTCTTACTTCTATACGTATACAGTACTGAGCAGAAAGGAGAAAATTTCATATACCCTGTATTCAGTGAGATCATAAATGAAAGCATCATCATCATAATAAAAATTGAATTTCTTATAGAATACAAATGTATGACAAATGAGTCAAATAAATATTCAATTGTGAAACTGTACAGTATTACCCCGCTTTACACGGTTTCACTTTCCGCGATTTCTCATTTACACGGTACCTTGCCAGAACCGGACTTTCACTTTCCGCGGTGCATCTACTCATCTACTCATATACACGGTGAAGTATAATTTTTTTTTTTAGCTCATAAAATTCTTACAAATTACCCAGCCAGACTATAATTTACATTGCTGGAATTCTTACAATATGATGATCATTTTGAATATAAACATCATGGATTTTGCATTAGACCTAAAAATTTTATATCTAATGTAATAATTTGGTTTACACAAAGCAAATATTTTATCGTTTGTGCAGAATATATGAAGTTTACATTCAAAATATTCCCTGACCTGCAAGGAATCCAGAAATGTCAATTATATTATTCTAACTTTAGTCTGAGTTATTATTTATTATTAAAAATGTAAATATACTATTTTTTCCCAAACCTTCTCTGGTAGGGAGGGAAGGTGGGGGGTGGGGAGGGAGGGAGGGAGGGAGGGAGGAGGAGGAGGGAGGGAGGGAGGGAGGAGGGAGGAGGGAGGGAGGGAGGGAGGGAGGGACCCAGCTAGGGCGGAGTATTTTGATTAACAGATAGTGTCCTTGAAGAATATTTCTTTGTTTATTTACTGAAGATATATGTTTTAGCTCATAAAATTCATACAAATTACCAGGCCAGAATATAATTTACATTGCTGGAATTCTTACAATATGATGATCAGTTTGAATATAAACATCATGGATTTTGCATTAGACATACAAATTTTAGATCTAATGTAATAATTTGGTTTACACAAAGCAAATATTTAATCTTTTGTGCAAAATATATGAAGGTTACATTCAAAATATTCCCTGACCTGCAAGGAATCCAGAAATGTCAATTATATTATCCTAACTTTAGTCTGAGGTATTATTTATTACTAAAAATAAAATCTAATGTTTTCACCCACACATTTCTCAGAGAGGTAGGAGCTAGTGAGCTGGGAAGAGGGGGGGGGGATTTGAGTCCATTATTTGAATGGACATTAACCTGGCGACTGTATTTCTCTTAAATATTAATTGTGTGAGCATACCATCATAAAATTTAGATGTTATTTTTACTACAAATAGGTATTGTGTCAGAAAAAGTGGAGTTTGGGGGTCGGGCCAGTCTCTATTGGAATTAATCCCATATGTTCTGTTGTTCACTTTACGCGGTTTTCACTTTCCGCGGTACCCTGTGGGTTCAATTGACGGCGTATGTAAAGTATGTAAATCGGGGTACTACTGTATCTAAAAAGCATCAGCATATAAAAACAACACTGGAGAAACACTGACATCCTCTACTCAGTTTACCTGGGAACAACTCCAGTAACAAGAAGAAGAGTTGGAATATCTGTACTTCTTTCTTCATTGCTGGCTGTGCAGATATAGAGACCTGCATCCTCTGTGTGCACCTCAGGGATGTCCAAGACAGCCTATGTAAAAATTCAGACAATATTAATACAATATACCGGATATATATATATATATATAAATATATATATATATATACAGTGATCCCTCGGTTAACGAAATTTCGGTTAACGAATTACCTTCCATAAGATTATTCACTTTCGGTTAACGAGCAAACCCTCGGTTATCGAATTCCTTATGAATTTTTCCCAACATGTTTTCGCCTGCATTTAGCTGCCCACCAGCTGTAGTATTAGTCCACCAATACAAAACAGTAAAAGTCCAAAAATCCGGATGCCAGAAATCCGGACCACCTGAGAATCCGGACTTTTCGAAAACTCTCAAACTTTTTAAATTTAGTGGGCTTTTGTGAGTATGTGCGCATGCGTGAGCACCACAGCTGCACAGCGACAACAAACGACCACTCGGTCGCCACTTTAAAACGAGCAATCAAACGGTGACAATGTATGTAATTTTGAGTCCTACTCTTTCCATTTACAGAGTACTGTACAAGCCCATAATAATGGCTCCTAAAGTAGATAAACTTTGTTGTGTGAAGAGAAAGAAGAACACGTTGAAATTGAGGGACAAACTTGAAATAATTAAGAAACTAGAACGTGGTGTGAGCAATACTGTTCTAATGGAAACATACGACATTGGAAAGTCTACAATTTATGATATAAAAAAGGCAAAGAATAAAATTCTAGAATTCACAGCTTCTTCTGAGCCTTACAATAAAATTGCTGAAAGAAAAAGTTTACATCGGCCAAAATTAGAAAATTTTGATGAAGTGTTGCACGAATGGTTTTTGTTAAAACAACCAGAAGGTATGGCAATTTCTGGGCCGATGCTTATTGCCAAAGCAAAGTCTTTTAAGTAGCAAATGAACATTGAATCAGAGTGCTCATTTAGTGATGGATGGCTTAGGAATTTCAAGACTTGTCATGGTATTAGACAGTTAGATATTGCTGTACCTGTTCATCTCTTCTTTATTCCTCCTTAAATTTGAATTTTAAAAGTACTGGCTGAGAATCCGGAAAATCCGAAAATCCGGACCGACCTAATCCCCAAGCAGTCCGGATTTTTGGACTTCTATAATCGGTTTTAGTGCTTAAATTCCTTACCATTTTAGTAAATATCAAGAAGGTTGTACTATTCAATAATTTAAAACGTTTTATATTAAATTTTTTAGTCATTTTAACAATTATTGAACATAATTGAAGTACAGGAAATTATTTTTTTGCGCGCCAAACAGCCACTCAACACACCAAGCTTGGCGTCAGTTTGTTTACCAGTTCAGAGGAAGGAACATCTTGTTTGAGACTCTTCAACATAAACACTTTTTTTCTGTGTTTCCAGTCAAATTATTGGTCATTTTGAAATATATTTTACATATTGAAAATATATAGTACAGTGCAGTGTTGATTTAAAGAAAATAATCTTGAATTACACCAAGTGAACTAAAATTTTATGGGTGAAATGGCAGCATGGGGTGACTTCTCTTCCAACCCCACTGCCTTCTCTTCTCCTCCACCCCCATTCTAATTCCCATCATCATCAACCAGGAGCCTTCTACATGCACACCTCAAAGTAAGTGTACTTTACTGCATTTATTTTTAGTTTGTATGTAATTTTCAGTGAGTTGGAACCAATTACAGTATATATATATATATATATATATATATATATATATATATACAGTATATCAGATTTGATGTAGGCCTAACAAGAGCTAATAGGAATAAGAGGTGACACTTTCATGTGTAAAGTGATGGAGGTGGGGCAGGGGGACTGGCCTTGCCTCATTTGTCAGTGTTTTTATTTACCTGTATTTATTACTATATATTCTCATAAGATCAGCCTCTTATGGTGTACTGGGTATGTTTTATCATAAATAATATAACATACAGCATTAAATACTAAAACAAAATGCAATACTGAATATAATTTAACTTCAAAATAAAACCACAAGCTGTACTGTATTCATACCTAATCTCTTCATTGACCCCCTCTGCTAACTGTAGCGTATAAAGAAATGTTTATTCTCTTTATGGTTTTGTCCTTATGAAGAGCATCTGGCATACAGGTCAATAAAAAATGGAAAAACATTAAAATAATTTTTTTAAATCCTGGTGTGATGGTAATACCTTGAGCAGTCTATAAGGAATTTTATAGCGATAATTGAAATGTTTAAAATTCTATATAAGATTAGTTAACCTCTCGACCCCTTGTGGGCTTGGGTAGCCCTGTCAATAGTCGTAGTAAAGTATTCATCAAGAAAAGTATCGCAAGAATAAAAAAAAAAATCACTTTAGAAATCAATTTGTGGTAGCTTTCTCCCTCTCGAGAAAATGATTGAGGGAATGAAGCATAGCTATTCAGTGGGCTTCCAGCTCTTATAAAGAGAGGAGGTCTGAAAATTACTGCCCAGCACCTCCTCGCCACTACTTGCGCTTGCTCTGTCATGCGTCTCATTGGCAAACATTTGTATGAAGGAGTGTACAATGTCAGGCATGTCATTTACGAAACAAACATACAACAGCGGGCCCAATACACTGCCCTGTGGTACCCTGCCACACAGATGATGATTTCATGCCATTAATCACCACACACTGCTTGCGGTCATGTAGAAAGTCTTCTATCCACGCTAGGACATTTAAAGCTGATGTACAGGCCCCTTCACTAGTGCGTTTACAGGGGCTTGTCAGGTTTTGTACAGTGTGGCAGCCCTGTGTTTGTTTATATTTGACAGAAGAAAACTCGCAATAGTAAACATACCATGGAATCAAAATAAAACAATATTAAAACAAATATCTCAATATAATGATTTGTGGAATGTTTATATGAAGAGCCCCTGTAAACTCACTAGTGAAGAGGACTGTACATGTTGTCCTTGCCTGATGGTAGAAATATCACAATGATGAACCAAATTTTAAAGCACCTATACTTAAAGCCAGATGCTCCCCGTAAGGTATGTATTTCATTTATATATATATATTTTTTTGCACATTCTGTATATAGAATGGTATGTGCATGTAACCGAGTAAAATAATAAAACAAACAAATAAATAAATCCACCCAAAATTATGAGTTGAAAAATAGCCATAACACATCATATAGCTAATTGGATGACAATAGTTTTGTCATCAAGTGTAGGGAACAGTTTGAAAATGCATGAGGAATACTGTACTTCATCATCAGGTAGGGAATGATTGTAAATTTCCCTGCTCAACCTGCTTGTGAGAGGGTCAATAAGTCAAATATAAAAGATTAACCAAAATATATAATGATAAAAAACTTACCTCTTGAATACGGGCTTTGACAGGTAATTCCCCTTCTTGTTTATTCCATGTGAATGACACAGGTGGAGAAAGCGATACACGACACTCCATCACTATCCCTAAACCAAAGGCCACAGATCTTGTTTCCACTGAACGTGGATGGTGACCATTAACAGGCGATGATATTATATCTGAAATATAAAAACGAGATATTCATTTTAGCAATTGATATCCTAATCAATTTAGCTCACAAAGAAAATTTCAAGTTGACAATTTTATTAAAGTACCGATTCAAGCACGTACTAAATCTAAGAAAAAATAATAACTTACCAGTGGCATCCATTCATTAAGTGCGGTGCAATGAAAAAGTGGAAAACATTAGTAATTTCTATTTGTACACACATTTTTACAGAAAAAAAATATTCTCAACATAAATGGAAAAAATGTTAAGTGATATGCAGTTTCATGGCCAATAGGCAAACTTTGTACTGACCATTACAAGCTTGGAACTATAGTCCAATATCAAAATTAAATTATTTAGTAACCCCAAATCACACAGACTGAATCATTCTTTCAGTAGATTCTATGAAAAGAAATGTCAAAACAGTTGTTCATGTTGGGTCTATTGAGTTCACCAAGTTACACTATAAGCAGATAATTTTTAAAATTTTTCCAGGGCGATTAAGTTTTATTTCAACTCACAGTACTGTACTGACTTTGGCTATTTTCATCTTCATTAGAGAGAAAATACTGTAACCAAGATGGGAAGGTGTTAGGAGTCAGGTTATAAAACCTATCCACTAAAATCTTTAAATCTGAATCAAAATTACTCAATTCTTTCTCTGAGGTCCTAAAGGACTTTGCCTCATGGCTTGTGCATTCCCAGGCTTAAGTAACAAGTCAAGCGGGATACAAATAATACAGTTCTTATAAATTTTTTAACCAAGGGCTACATCAGAAACGATGGATAAATCTTGAGTTACATTTATTATACAGGTGAAGGACAAAGACCACTCAGTAAGAGTTACTGTCCCATACACAGAGAAGGTAAATTATCTTGTAAAGGTATCTATCACTATATGAATGCTCACTGAGTAAATTCACTTATCTGAAAATTCTAATTTTACACCTCTCTCACAATCCAAAATTGATAATCACTTTACGTAGATGGTAAGGCCCCGAGTAAGTCTATGGTACTTCTCCTCACCCCTTATGGTAAGTTCTAACGGCCCTCACATAAGGTAATGTACCAACTATATAGTACAGTATTTTATTCAGCTTAGTAATTTGTTTTTTACTTTAATACTGTATTGTGGGATTTTTTGAGTTGTTCATGAACAAAATTATCTTTTTAGGTATAAAATTGTGTTTTTTGTTATTGTTTGTTAACCTTTTACTTTTTGGCACAATATTTGGGTTTTCTTCTCAGAGGGAAACTGAACTTTATTTCTTCTTTTTATTATGTTATTCACTATCCAAAAATTTGATATCCGAACCTAACCCATTCAGATAGCAAGGGATGCCTGTTTTGGTTTAGAGATGAAGTACTGATCTTGACATCCCATTTCATAATACTGTACAGGAGCCTCTCAATTTATGCGATAAATATGTTCTTGAAAATGGTCGTGTAAATAAAAAAAGCATAAACCAAACAATGTACCAGGTAAATAGTGGAGATTAGATTTCATTATTAATAAGACAGTACCCAATATTATACCAGTGAAAAACTACAGTATACATGTACAAGGGAACACTTTAATGAGTTTGGTGTTTGATCCATGTGCTTAACATTCATTCCATTCTTTCCATAATCAAACTTTGGGAACATGAGGTCTTAGATGCACCGATGAAGCTATCTTTTACACCATTCACACCTTTCAATGGTCAGCCTGCGTGGATAATGATAATAATTAAGTAAAACATTTTCCAAGAAAATACATACCAGTATATATTTTTGTAATGAAAAACATTAATCCTTAATCCTGCAGTTAAATATATAAAATCACATAATCTCAGATGTGCAGTCAGACTAAACAATATACAGTAGAAATCCAGTTATCTGGCACCTATGGGGATTGAGAGGTGTCGGATAAAAAGATTTTATGGTTAATTGAATCTCCCTTTTAGGCACCTTCAATAGATCTTACAATGCATAGTGCTACAAGCTGACTTTGCAAATTCGTGTCTCAGAGAAACGGGATTCTTTAACATTTATTCCACTCTATATAACTGATGTGGCTTAGGAATAAAGAAAATATAATATAAAACTAAGACTAAAAATATGAAGAGATGCGTGTGTATGTGTGGGAAGTGAATGTGTGTTGAGGTGGTGAGCTATAACTGCAACACCGATACACCAACCCAGCCGCCGTATTTATTGGTGCATGTAGTGAAACTATAAAGTTGTCCAAAAGTACATTAAAGTACTGTACTTTAATGCAGCTTATAAATAAACTAAAGTAAAGCCTCAAATAACGACGGTAATGTGTCCTCCAATAATGCAGTGTAAGGTGAATCATCATATCATGAATCATTAATTACCATTAAAATAAAGCAATAATAATGAGAAGTGTTCCAAAGTCTGACCTTTTCATATCTTTTGTGTGGCTTTTCACCCTCTTTTCCCTTAAAACAATAAAATGAATTAAAAATGCAAACTATAGTCCTTAAATAATGTTTATGAATGCACCTTATACAATATAAATCAATAATAACATGGTCACACAAGAGATGGGATGCCATTGTTGTTAGTGTTTGCACCCATAATGTCAGTTATCCATCTGAAACTGAAGAAAATAAGACCCTGGTTGTTGGTGTAGTAAAATTAATGTGGATAAATCATGTTGTTTTAATTACTGTAATGTTATTTAATGTACAGTAGAAGTAACCACTGACGGTGAAGAAAAAAGTGAGACTGTTAGCCAACATACAGGTATACGTGAGCACTCAGGGAAATGGCTTCACTTATCTAATTAAGAATATGTATAAAAAATTCATTATTGTTTATTTCTGAATATGTAATTGACTGATTTATTTTTTATACAGGGTATATGCAAAATGAACAATATAATTCATTAATAATACTGTACGTAGAATATTAACTCTTACGCCCCAGCAGCCTCTGTGCGCAAGGCATGTTTGTTTTTTATTTGTATAATACTGTACATATCGGGATTTAGTTATTATTTTTATGAAATTGTAATTAAATTAATTTTTTATTCATTATTATTTTTATGAAATTGTAATTAAATTAATTTTTTTATTCTATTTATGTTTTGAATACAAAGAAAATAATGGTGTAAATTGAATTGGGTCCTAAATTAACCAGGGTCATAAATATGACTCGTTGTTAGTAGAACCGTCGTTATCGGAGGCTTTACTGTATAATATAAAACTGCAAAATAAGAAAAGTGAAGAGCATGGGTGTGTATACGTGGGAAGTGCATGTGTGTGGAGGCAGTGGAATCCTGGGCTATAACAGCATGGCTGAGCTTTCTCCAGATGTGATGTCATGGCAGCCACACTACTGTGACTGCCTGAACTGTGTCCTGTTACCCAGAGAATGGTTTGATTGTGGAAGGTACTATTTTTTTTTTCATAAAATAAATGCTTTTATATTTTATGATATGCTATGTATCAATTTTATCGTTAATCATAGCAATAAATATGGTGCCGGTTGCATGGATACTGGATAACCAGGATTCTACTGTATATTTAATAAAGTTGTGAGCAAAAGGTAACTAATAGAGCAATAGAACTCATGGGTGTCATGAATTGTGTGCATAGATGCTGCTGGCCTGTGCTAACAGATGACATGCCCACCCATGCTGCCATGTATTGAGGGCAGAGGAAAATAAGAAATGAAATATTAAAGACATATTTGAAGGTCTTCTTACACTTGAGGTCATGGCCACAAGACAAAGAAGCCAGAAAATTGTCAGTTGTTAATTAATTATTGTACAATAACAACCTGCCAGAGAATGTTACAGTATGAGCAAGAAATATCAAAAGGAACTACTATAACTCTATAGGAGTAATTTAATCCCTATGAGTTGGATGCTTGTCCCAGAGACGGTGTTGGATCGCTGGTATGTCAGCTGTCTGTTTACTTATTTTACGCTTCATCTGGTTGGGTATCTAACAAGTAGGCCCAATACCTGTTTAATAATTACCGGGTACACAATATGAGATCAGATGACTGTAAACAAAAATAGCAAATTACACTTGGTTCTTCAAGTGAAGATCAAGAAAGACATACCTTGAATAGCTAGAGCATAGCTTCCTTCAAAGACACCATTAGCTGTTGTGACCGTACACCTGTAAACTCCACCATTGTCAGGCTGCACATTGAAAATCCTGAGGACGTTGTTCCAAGGCTGAGCATTAGAAGGTAGACCTGAGTTCATTCTTGACCAAGACAAAGCAGCATCCGACCCACCACGAACTTCACATGTGAACTCTACGTCATCGCCGATGCGAACATTTGAACGGCTAGGACGGATTTTAACCTCTACAGATTCAAGTCCTGTATTAATTAAAAAAATAATAAAAATCAAATATTTCAAAATAGTATAATTACAGAAAAACAAACATGCAATTTCTTTAATCTAATCTCAAAGCTAGATGGTGTATTTGTACAAAAACAATGTTAAGTAAGATTTAACCAAATTAATATCTCACTAATAAATAATGTAGATTTTTAAATTTAAGCATATTTCTAAAGATTATATAAAAAAAATTAGTACATAATTAACATAATATCAAAGACACAGCTAAATGGATTATTAAAAACTATACCTGCAAGTACACTCGTCAACGAAAGTCCTGTCCCCTAACTTGCCACTTAATGAACCCAGAGAATCAAAGACCTGTGAGGTCTCTTTAAATCTCTGGGTTCATGAAGAGCCAGGTGAGGCAATGGGAATTTTTTGTTGGCGAGTGTACATATGAATTTTGAACTTGAAGGTGAACTGACCGTACCTTCTGATTAATTCTGGGATATTCATTGCCAAAATATAAGAAAAATTTCTCCAATGACTATATTGTGCAGCCACTTACAAGTATTACTATCAAAGCAATATAACATGCAAGAATAAATTATCAACATTTCCTAGAAATATGAGCAAGCATGTGACACGTTCTTTAAATAATTATAAAATGGCTGATTAGAATTACATCTATAAAAAACCTACTGGTACTACATATGTGTTACCAGAGTTTTGTTTCGTTTGTGGTATTATGCATATGACAAAATTTTATGATATACCTGTAGGTGACAAATGTGATGTGGAAAGTATTGAAAATGTAAGTGATAAAATGGAATTTGTTATATGTTAATCAGTTTTTAAAAGAAGAGTGAAGCATATCAGGCTGTGTAGAAAATAGAGATGTCTAATGTGGCTTTGGTAGTTCAATATTTTCATGGATGGGGCAGCATGAAATGTGACAACCATGAGTATCTACAGAATGCTTTCCAGGAGGAAGGCAAAGTTAAAATCAAGGGATGATGGAGACACCTACAAGTTTTGCCATTACAGGTATCCCTCGAGATATGAATGGGTTAGGTTCCAGGAAAAACATTCTTGAATAGAAAAACATGATAAAAATAGGGTTCGGCTCCCCAATGAAAAACATACCCCCAAAACATGAATTCAGTTCACAAAAAAGAGAAAACTACCTAATTAACGATAAATAGTGCACAACTACAGGGTACTGTAATTTATGACCTAACATATTAAAACATGCATATATTATAAGCATTAAAAAAGGAGTATTTAATCTAGTAAGTAATAACTAGGGATGCACCGGAACTTAGTTCCGGACAGAACCTCAATTTTTATGGAGCTCCGGTTCCGGCCAAAACTTTAGAATCTCTACTAAACATCTTTACCTCCTTACGTTCACCTCAGCTGCTATTGAGGGAGACACTGAGTCATGTGTGAGGCAGCTGGGTGAGCTGACTTGAGTTTAAAACTAAACAAGTACTGGACGCGTCATCCTGATGGCTCTGTGTGACTGGTTGTCATGAAACATACCTGTCAAAGACTCGTGGCTTCCCAAAGATCGATTTTTTTTTAAAGTTATTATTTTTCCATGTACAGTACTGTATTACAAAACAACTTAAATGCTAAGCTTAATATATTTTAGGTGATATGACATACAGTTTTGGAAAAATACTATAAAAGGTGAATCTAACCTTGAAGCAGCATTGTTGTATTCCCATATAAAAAACACTGTAAGGTATTAAAAAGCTGTAAAGCATATAAAACAAAGTGGCCCACTTGAACTTCATTTCATGACTTTAGTTTTAGAAATTAGTTTAAAACCAAGACCAAGCCCAATAATATCATATTAGCTTTTCTGGGTGTCATGAAACTTATTTTTTGTTTTTGTTTAAGCAACACTTAAAGTTCCGGTTCCGACCGGATTTTTGTAAAGTTCTGGCAAGTTCCGGAACTTAATATTGTGGTTCCAGTGCATCCCTAGTAATAAACATAGAACCTTAATAAACATAACAAAAGTCATTTACTTAACCACCTTGTAAAGTTGCGAACTTGCGACAAAGATTTCGGTTTAAGAAACATAAATTAAGGCCTAAACTTGAGGGCCTAAGGCTACAGCCATATTAGCCTTGTGGTTAATCCGGACCTGCAGATAACACATTCACCGCCAGGATACCTTACATGGAATTCTGTACAGTACAGTACACACCTGCTGTAGAATTACTGATAGTTTTATTTCTTACCAGCATAAATTTAAGGGTGGAAGTACAGTACAGTATATCTGAAAGCAATATTTACATTGAGACCCTTAATGAATGAATAACACAAAGGTTTCATACAAAGTTTACTTACATCCGAGGCCAATTTAGCCTATATCGGTAAATGTGTTACCTGACATTGTCAAAGGTGACCGCCACCGGGTGTTGCAATGCTTCAAGGGGGAATCCCAGATTGAGTTCAGGTGATGTGAGTGTAAACCTCTGTGAGGTGACATCATGTGTACTGGATATAAGGAGTTTTTGTAGTGATGATTATGCCATTCCTTTGCTGTAACTTCACCAAGGAGGGCCACATTTTGTTTATTTCCCCAAACTTCTATTTGGTTTCATGTGAGATGAAGAGTCTGCTTATCGAACTTCATTATGAATATTCGGAAATTTTGTGTACGACCAATGAAGATGAATGCAAGTCTAACTGTTTCTACCAGTAAGGCAGTGACTGCGAAATGTAATTAAGAATTTGCCAAAAGAACAAGAGCGGAAGCAATAGATTACAATTAATATACACACAAGAAACCTAGAGTACCTATCATAACTGAATGCTGTTCTTGTATATTAAGGGCAATAAAAAATTAAAACATAAAAGTTGCTTATGCTCTACGATAAAATCAAACTAAAACCTTAAAAATAAAACCCACACAGCTTATGAGGAAAGTAATTATGATAATGGAATTTTCTCTACAGTACTTATATGCAGTAATGCAATATACAAACTGTACTTGTTTTGGAAAATTCTTAAATTAAACTAAAAGAAGCAAGCAGGAAAGCAAGATGTTGGCAAGCACTTGGAATTTGTTTGTATCAATAACAAGAATGTATCTCCTCTAATGGTTATAATAAGGTTGAACTACTGTCATGCAGGTTAGTGGCCATTTGCTGGGACTCACTTGTAACAGTGAGGGTGATGACGTCTGAGCTACGATATCCAGAGGGCGTGATGGCCTCGCACTGATACATGCCACTGTCTTCGGGTTGGACGTAAGGTAATCTGGAAGTGATTATTTTTCTTGTATATATATATATATATATATATATATATATATATATATATATATATATATATATATATATATATATATATATATATATATATATATATATATATATATATATATATATATATATATACAGTATATATATATAATCCCTACAGTAAATTAAGTGCATTAAATTCTCCCAGGGGTTCTTTTAATCACTAACAATGTTTACTGATAACTTATATGAAAATATATATTAGAAACAAATGCAGACTATACCTGAGGAGATTGCCATGTTCTATAGCACCGGGTGGGAGGCGACCTCTCATACGGGTCCATCTTACATCACTTGGGTTGATTCCTGAAGCTTCACAACGCAGCTCTGCTGTTTGACCAACATACATTACCATATTCTGCTGGAATGCTGCCAACAGGGGTTCCTCTGAAATAAAATGCATTTACATATTAACTTTTTTGTTGTGAAATATGAAAAAGCCAAGGCAGTATAAATAACCAAAAGAGGATCAGTTAATCAACACTGGTGATAAAGACATATTTTCATTAGTTTAAGAATTTCATTCATTTGTAAAGCAAGCCATGAGCAAATTGTAAGGAGCATCACTCTCATTCAGTAAATCAGCTACCATTGCAAAAATAATATAAATACAATCAACCTTAAAAATAAAATAAAAAAATAAATAATGCACCCAGTGGCACACTGTCCTAGGTGTAAGGGGATACACCTAACCCCTAGGTGCATTCTCATGTGGGGTGCCAAATTGATGGCAAACTCATCTAGTAAGCACTTTACTGTTTTATTTATTATCATAAAATTGTGACTTTTAAAAATTAAAATACGCATATTATCTACACAAGTACTGGGGAACTTTAGTACACTGCTGACTACATTTACATTATCTTAAACAATAATTACATCCATACACATCAAAGCACCATACCCAATATAAAGATCATGGAGAGAAAAAATATAATAATAGAAAGAGGCTATCACAACACAATACAAAACCTCTCAAATAACACCCATAATTATCTGAGACAAGTACAGTAATATCATCATAATACATTTATAAGGCACTCTTGATGAGAAGTAGACATGTAACAAAATTAAGAAATAGAAGTAATATCCCTGCTAGCCGGAATCTTCGATCCCCGGAACTTTCCATTACCCGGAAAATAGATATTCTAGCATTCTGAGAAAAACCTTTCCGTTCCAGGCATTGTAATAAACTTCTGAGTGATTGCATCATACGCTGACACATGCCAAGAGTGTGGGTGGGTAGGCCTAGATTACAATACCCACGTGACTGCACGGAGTGCCTATGTATGGCTGATGTACCTCACAGTTTATCGCTTTGTTCACTGCCTGCTGCCATTGCATAAGCTTTTTCACTCGCTCAATGCTGTTTTTGCATAAGATCTGTGTTGTATAGTACTTTACATTACTGTACCAGGATGCAATCACCAAAGAATACAGCTAAAGCAGTGTTAAGATGTAAAATGTGAGCACAGTTAAGTATACTGTACAGTATTGTACATTCACTAGAGTGGACAGTGTAGGCCTATTGCAGGCTAGTGTGTAGAGGGTGTATATATAGTACTGTATACAATGTGTGTACTGTACAATCTCTCCTTTATGGAGGGAGAGGAGAGTGACAGCTAGCAACACCTTGTATCATCATATTACCATTTGGCCTACATGCATTACGAGGTCAAGACAGCAGCATCTGGTGAGTACAGTACAGAGTATACTCATGTATACTGTACAGTATTTTGTTTATTTACAATATATTGTATGTGTTTGTATAAATAAATATAGCTCTGTGTCTGTCTGACTGCAGTTAAGCCTCCATAGCAATGGTGCTCCATGCCAGATGCGTAGTTTAAATTTGGAAACATTCCATAGAATGTGCAATTTTTTTTATAGGGATACAAAATTTTGTCTCAATACCCAAACATCTCTCAATTGCTCCGGCTAACAGGGATATTTCTATACATCAGAAAATGTAATTAAGGATTAGCAAAGTTAAAATAAGAGTAATGATATAATAAACACATCTCGGGCAACTTTGGCACTTGTCATGTTCCTGCCCAAATTATCTCATATCATTAGATACAGTATAAACTTAATGCTATGCCTTAAACTTTACCCAAAGGTAAGATTATATTGTACAAAAAACACTTTCATACACAAACAGTTCAGTAATGACTGAAATCACAACACAAGCAATTTTGTAAAAAAAAAAAAAAAGATAGAAATGTATAGTATTTACACCTTTAAGTTTATCATCACAACATTAACATATTACCTACTGTATATAATAACATTCTAAGGTTTAAATCTGACACAGTTGTACATTCATTAATGTGCATAAATTTGAGATGCTGAAAGGCACATTTATTTACTTAAGGGTTGTCAAATCATGGTCAATGTATGGGTTAAGCACTGCTATTTCTGAGTTGGAAAAAGATAAGGTTTATTTGTACATTTGATTCCAGAACAACTCCACTTGGACACACCAAGATATAGTTGCCTACAGAGCAGTCTCAAGATATACACATCAAACAAACTGGTCAGTAGAATCTCAAACACAAATAAATCTTGCATTAAGTATTGAGACCATACAAATGAATGAGCACTATAGACTTTTCACTTATAAACCCCTTCAATATGGGACATTACTTTTAATATTTTATTTGGTTAAGACCAGACGATTTTATTCAACATAACCAAAGTTGCAAATGGGTTTTTATTTGGATTTCCTCACTTCCATCTGAATTCTGTCATCCTTTGTCAGTATCTTAACAGGTGGTTCTGTTCACCTTTCAAATCAGAATATGAGCCTTCTAATTACAGTATTACCTCTAATAATCAGGATTTTTCTGATTAAGTGAACTACTGTATGTGGGTACACTCTATGACTGATAAAAAGAGTAGACCTAACTATATTTTGACAAAATTAACTTGGGGATTATCCTTTGCAGATATGTACTCAGAGGTATTCATGACCAAAGGTTGCAATCTTCTCTTGTTCATGATTCCTGTGAATTTGTAACAAATTAACTCTTGTGATTTATTTTATGGGAATGAGTTTTAAGATTCTTAGTTCCTGTCTGGGATTTGGTTCCCTTTACCTACATATAAGTAACAATCAATTACTATCAATAAAATTTAAAGACATTACAAAAAGCATATACAGGTACTATACAGCATTGTGCCCAACTAATTACATAAATGTATAAACATATAACAGCAACACATTACAAAAACCTGATAACCATATAAATTACAATAAAATCAATCATCAAATTAAAGCCATCAATATCTTCACTTTACATACAGAACATTAAATGTAAGCTCTTCATTACTATATGTTACTCAACCTCATTACCATGAGTAATATGCCTTCTACGTCGGAAACAAACTTTCTCATCTTTGCAGTCATTACAGTCACACTGGCCATCACAGTTGAGGTAGAAGTAATAGCAGGAACCATCACCACATTTGAAGAAGTCCGAGCACTTAGTTAAGTCGAATATGTTGTCTGAATTCAAATAACAAAATAATATATAACAATTATATGAATAAAACTTGGGACAGTTAATACTTAAAATCATATGTAAAATAATACAGTTCATGTAGTGAGGAAGAGTAATTTAACAATGATTAATTTTTAAAGTCTACAAGACAAACATTATAAAATAAAATATATAAACAAATATTGGTACTGTATGTGACTTCTTTTTATCAAACAATATAAAGCAAGAAATTCTGAAAAATAAAATGTCAAAACATGTATGTGACAATCTTTTTAAGATTAATTCTTTCTTCCCTTGGATAATTTTAGGCAGTGGGCTTGAGAGAAAAGCCTCCATGCTAGCTTTTCTGTGTATATCTTCCAAATATGTTCATCTCACCTTAAATTCTCATTCAAACTTTTCTTAACATCAAATATTTTTCCACTTTCTTCTTCATCAATGATGGCAAGCTTTACTTCACCCTAGCTTCCTTTATCTCCAAACATATACATCTTTGCTATCCTCAACATATTCAAATTCTTAAAAGTATTCCTCGAGATCTATACTGGGAAAAATTTCTCATCTTTGAATTTCTATTCCCTCTGACAACTCTTTTAACATTTGCCTTTATCTTCCAGTATTACCAACCAGTTATTTATTTCAGTAATCAACATGCTACGAGAGAATGCACATCAATCCACAAAAATGGGCCTGACAGATTCAAAGTGATCCTGGGTGCATTTACATTACCAAAACCATTTTTCTCCCTCAGTAAATCCACAATGACCAGGTGCCTTGCTTAAGTGTTGTAGCATACCTGTGAGAACAGAACAAGTGTCAACTGAACCTATGCCTCTCCCACTTTAATGAAGATACACTGTTAGTTCTCAAGATGGGCTAACTGGAGAAAGTTAGAATGTGGCATTTTATATTTTGAAGGACAGGCTTAGTGTGATTGTAGGTTTTGGTTAGCACTTACATGGGTCACTCTACAACAGTGGTAATGGGTTTTATCCAGGCACAGTGTTTGCAATGTGTAATCTCTTGTTTCAGTGAAAATGGTGAGGATAATTAGCTAGGGAAATATTATCCTTTTGTATTATTGTCATGAATATGATTCATGTCATTTAATCAGGTTAATAGAAAGATGAATTGACTACATTTCCTTAAATTTCCCAACATACATGTGTGTTCCAACGGCAAGTGCTAGATAAAAGATGAGATAAAATAAAAAGTATTACAATATGTCTTATTATAATTTTCCTCCCTCTCTGTTGCCCTCCTCCCTACTCAGTACTGCCTCTCCCCTCACTCTATCCACTCCTTTCACTTCACCCCCTTGTGGATGGTATATTTCTGTTTCCTTTTTATTTTTTGATAAAGCCATAAAGAAATACCCATATCGCTGCACTATAAAATTGCAGGGATAAACCAAACAAATAACTAAGTGCCTTATTGTAGAAGAGGAACATTATGGCAGTTCACATCTTCTATAGCAGATGGAGAATGAATGTAAACAAATACAGGAAATGTCTATGTTTGCTCATGATTCTAGCTATCATGTATCATGTCAGAAAGATCCCTACAACAGTGAAAATAAGATTCATTGGAAATACGTGAGGCATTATATACTGTAAATTATTTACTCAATTCCATTTTTTATAAATACAAGTTAACAAACTACTTAATCCATTATGATTTTGGATTTCATTTACTGTACTGTACATATACACCAGGTGTACCAAAAAAATTATATCCATTTATAGGGATTTTTCTCAGAACTCAGTGCTTCATATGATTTTCATTTAATAAACTCATTGAGCTATTGTAAGGACATACCATAACACTTAAATTTTACTGTAATATTCTCAATAACAATGTATTTAATTCTACTTTTGGCCCCACACAGAGTGACTTACCATGACAATTTTTTTCATCAGCAGCATCATTACAGTCAGGTATATCATCACAGATCTTGTGCTGAGGTATGCAGACCTTGTTGCCACATGGAGAGTCAGGGCAGGCTACCACAATAATATATCACACCAATGTGAAGTGATCAGTAAAATTAGCTTGAATAAACTTATTCACATGACAACTCACTCTGTACATTGTGGAGATGAGTATCAGTGAAAGGAACCTGTAGCTTAATTTTTCCAACCATCACATGCAATCTACTCAATACAGGAAGAAAGACTGAAAATATCTTTTATAACCAATTCAAGAAATTGAGTGGCCTGGGAGAGAACCTTAACATGGCAAGCAGTTTAATGTTGGGTACATTACATAAAACACTATGCAGCTAGATGATATGTTGCTATGTATAACCTTCTCACATAGAAGGCTCAGGGGTGTTAAATCCAGTTTGAACCAGTGATTGACTCACAGTCTAGTGAGAATTTTTGAGCCATTGATTTAATCAAGTTGACTCAAATTCATTGGCTTACATACTTAAAGCCTATCTCCAGTCATAAATTATAGTTCCCTCTTCACCTTTTTAGCTCTGCCAATTTAAAAACCCATTAAGGGAGAGGAAGGGCTTACAGGCCAGTTGCTTCCTCTCCTCAGTCAAAAAATGGGATTTCACAATTAAATCTTATATTTATGATCCATGGCTTGCCATGCAACATTCTAAGCCAGCAAGTAGTCAGATTGAGAAGGTCATCTGCCATATTGTAATCTGCAAAACTTAAAGGTGACTAGAATTTTCTTTTTTCTTTTCCACAAAGCAGGAATACAAATGAAATAATTGTGCTCAACAAAAACACTATGTACACCCCCTGAATGATACTTTTTTTACCGAGTGAACACATGCATTTATGGATGGATGGACAGACCAATGGAAGAGACAAACACTTAATGTCTCTTATCTTTGAACTTATAGTATGTGCACAAGATCCATGAAGTCGGCCATTTATGAAATTCTTAACCCAAATTTATTAATTACAAATTTTCAAGAGAATATCTTTATAAAAGTGGGTGAGAGATAGGAAAGGTATATGACTAAAAAACTTGCTTAAAATTTAGCTGATGGCTTCTGGAACATCATGACATCAGGTAATCAGGGATAACCCACTCAAGAATGGAAAATGGCCATAAAACAGTGATGATGATGATGATCCTATGCAGTAGCATATATTGGTGGACAAATATTTTAAAAAACTCAATTAATTTTGATATTTAGTAAATAAATACCAATCCACTTTATAGTTTAAACTGTCAGTCACACAATGGAATGCTCTGCATCCATTTCCTCAGCCTTATGCTTGTATACATAACAAGTGCCAGACATACCCAAATAAATCTGATTTAGACGAAACTAATACATTATGAGGAGCATTCAGACGCCTCTATGATATTTATTGATCATAAATAAGTCCAGTATGCAGTTTCCTGAACTGCATTTAGATTGGTGCAGGAAGCAAGCCTTTGGTTTCTGGTGTGATCAGTTGTCAGCCAGGTGTATGAGGGCAGACACTATCATTTATCATTTGTACTTTTTTTTAACCTCAATCAATGATGCAATCACAAATAATTTAACGTATTACTGTTATCATATGACTACCGTATATACATTTTATAAGTGAATTTTCATAACTTGAATGTTCGTAAAGTGAGGATACCTGTATACTGTACTGTGCATTACTTTTCCTTTGAGTAGAGTATTGGTCTGTCACATTGATTTGTTTATGTTTAGACCACATTCTTTGCATATTTCTGTCAATTTATTTTATATTTACTTATTCATTCTTCAACTCTGGCAGACAACTGATTACAGTGCTTACTTGCAAACTTTCTTCATGTCATACCACTGATCCTAGGTGATCAGTTCTCCTTATGGTTCTTATGGAAATGATAAAAAATTATGTGATCATGAAGAGCTGGTTTTGAACATCTCACACACCCAACTCGCGCAGTCCGCCACTACAACAAAATTCAGCCCATAAGAGCCCGCACCGATAGATATAAGAACAGCACCATCCCATCTATTGTTAAAATAATAAACAACTCCTGATTTATGTACTGTACAGCCCTGTAAATGTATTCAATGCATATTATATCATTATGTCTAAATCAAATGTAAGTCTGTATATTTTCAGCCACCGGCTGCAACTCTATTAATAAACCGTTTATTATTATTATTATTAGACCTAATATGGGCAATAAAACTAAGCGAATCAATTTAGTAACAGAAAATCATGACCAAGATTTGTTACTTTCCACTTTTAGCTAGCAACAACAGGCACATTGTGATCCTAGTTCTTCCTGTAGTAAAGCTCAACATAAAATTTTTAGTTTTGTCGCCAAAGACCTAAAAATCACTTACTGAACATCATACATTCAGAGCACAGATGTGTGGTATATGTGTACTGCTTTGCAAAAGAATAAACAAAAACAATTGATTTTGCATTATGATCTTGGGGTAAAAATGATTAACCACGTAGTAACTCAAATGCCAGAGAAAATACAATAAAAATAAAGTATAATTCAAAACACAATTGCAGAAATAGGTTAACCCTAGACTTCATGGGGCATATGTGTTTGGAAAATGTGGCGATTGGCAGCTAATTAAGGTCTACTATGAAATCAATTTTGTAACCAAAGATGGCTTCTAAGTGGGTGTGAGCAAATGAATTTAAGTCAATTCCATTAAGTCAACTCTATTAAGTCATGGATATCAAATCCTCACTGGACTACAAAACAACCACAGGTAAAATGGGATCGAATGACCCTTGTCCAACTGAGTGTGAGAAGGTTGCTCATAGAAAAACATTATCTGGTTGATGAGCAGGTCAGATAGTGTATACCTGCAATTAATTTATATCCCTTTCTGACACGGGGGCAGAAAGGGCATTTAGTGGATGCATTTTCTCGGAGGCCACTTGTTACAACCCATTGATCATAAAAGGTTAATTTAGCTAATAGATTACAATTGAGAAAAAAGGCTGGACTTGCACAATATAAAAGATCACTACAGTATTACCACTACGTATATAGCACTACTTATTTTCAGAGTAATATTCACTCACAGTGTGGTGATATCTGTTTGATGTAATGAAATGTTTATTACCTGAGTATATTCAGTAATTTACAGTGTTTTACTGGATAATTCTGTGGCATACATTTCCCATGCAGACTCCTCAAATGTTAGAATCGACTGACTGCAATTGCAATTTGATAATTTCATACAAAGTGAGTCTAAAATAATATTCTCTCATATTCTTAGTTAGGGTCCAGAGTTACCTCAGTCAGGTACAAGAGAGGCTTAAACAAGAAAGTCATAATAGTCATGAACTTCAACCATAAAAATAAAGATATTTTTTTTTATACAGACTAACACTATCTTATCTGGCAACCATGGGACCAAGGCCATGTTAAATAGAATGTTGATAATTAATAGAATATTAGTCTAAGTTACACTTATTGGTATAGAATATTTCAGGTAGAGCATTCAGTGTAAAGATGATTCATTTAAAAATCATTAATGCTGTGGAAAGTAATGTACCATATTTTACAACATATAAGATGCACGGCCATATACGGAAAAAACTTGTGTATTTTCCTCCTGTAGCCATAGTTTTCTTAAAATAATATATACCCCTGTACCAGTAAATGTGAGGATTTAATAAAAATAATACCAATAAATATGTTACAGGGTACAACAAAAAATACTGTATTGCCAAACCAGTACTGTATATAAATGCCAAATGAAAGTTTAACAGTCGCCATTTCCATACATTCCTGGCTTCACCACAGCAACGGAGACGAGCAGAGATGCTACCTCCGCCGATTCCTGAGCAACAATCCCCGCCCCCCCACTCCGCACCCTCCTCCAGTTCCCCCACTGAGCCAGCTAGCTTGTGTGCAAAGAAATGTATGTTCTCATTATGTGTTTGCTCTTAGGACAATTATTTCTTTTACCTTTCTTCACAATATGTATGTAGGACAGTGTGTGCATGTAACTGAGTAGTATAAATAAATGAAAAAGTTAGGTATATTTACAGGAAAACACAAGTTATAAAACAACTATAAGACTTCAGAGCATGGCCCAGTAGCCTGGTGGTTACAGTGACGAGCCTAACCTGGCTACAATGCCGCAAGAGATGTTAAGAGTTGCAAAAAGGAAATGAAAATATCTGTATATCTTCATTTGTATGAGGTATTTGTAGATCTAAAAATAAATGTTGTAATTCTTGTAAGAGTTCAGAAACGGTTACTGCTTAGCTACCTCTGCAGAGTTGGGTGTCCGCCGTATGGACGTTAATCGTCTCGGGTTATAATCATCAGTACAGTAGCTATAAATAGAGCTTATATATTTAAAATAAATATTTTTTTAATTAATCAAAAATAATGATAATGTGTTTGAGGAAGCAATAACATAATTTTAATTCTGGAGTTTGGTTAGGTAGAATTTAGCCTACTGGAGACTGCAACTTTGCATATAGAATGGAAGCTGATTTTTTTAAAACCATTTTCAGACAAATACGTGCATCTTATATGCCGTAAAATACAGTATTGCTTCTTTATATTTCTGTGTTTAAAAATATTTGGCTCTCATTGGTACAGTAATCATTAAAAAAAAAATGAATCCGAGTGGCATTTTATTATTTGCAGATCATAAAAGAAAGCACTAGATTACAGAGGAAAAGATAAAAGGATGGGATGAAAGATGCATTAGTAGTGAGGGGATGGACTTTCTGGAAACATTGGCAGGTGTGAATAAGTGGAGAGTTTGGTGTGAGGTTTTGAGGAAACAGAGTGCTGATGATGATGCTGGCTGGCATGAAGCAACAAGGGTAAATAAGATTAGCATTCTTGCTGTGGAATTAAAAAAAAAAATAAAAAATTTTTTACAGCAGTAAATATGAATGAATAACAACAAATAAGAAAACAAAACTATGCATATTTGCTCATATTTCTAGTTACTCTGCATTAATCAGCAAAAAGAAGTACAGTATACACTTCCAATTTCTTGATGATTCTTGAGAATCAAGTCTGTGAATAAAAGGTCAATGTATCTTTTGAGAAAATATTGGCATTCCTGGTTGCCCATTTAGGAAGAAATATCCAATAGCAACAGTTTAATACACATGTTACAGTAAATCAACAGCATGAATCACAAGTGATCAAAATGATAATTCAAGGAAATTAATGAGTTACAGATTCAGGAGAGAGTGAAAATGAGAACAAATGACTCCTCAGACACTATAACACATGACAGTTGCTCACCTCCCATATGTAAGTTTCAACAATTAGCTTGACTTTATTTCAGTTTCAACTGAAAATGGAAATTCAGCAGAAAGTATTATGCCAAAGCATAATGTCTCAGCAAAGAGCTGAGTGGTGTAAGGCTGGATGAATGTGCGGTAGAGTGTAAGAGGGAAAGCAGATGTACGACAGTGGTGTAACAAGAGAGGAGGGAGAGCCCACAACACAACCCAGCTGCTTTCTTTCCCTAAATAAATTTCTGCTCTCTTTTTTATTTTCAGTTTCAAGACAATCTGAAACTTCACTTTGAAATAAAAGACCAAAAGCAGAAATACGTCAGCAATATTTCCTGGGGACTAAGGAGGAGGGAATATCGATCACGCTCCCTCTATCCCAGTAAACAACACGGCAGTCATTGTGATATTGTTCACTACTCTTCTTCGTTTGGCAGTGTACAGTATTCTTATTTCCTAGTGAGTTCTGTTTTCTTAATCTAAAAGTATTTACTTTATATTATTTCCACCAAAAAGTTTCTGGTCTTATTGCATTTTGGATTTGACAAACTACAGAAAATGGAAATGATTTATGCATATTAAAATAAAGGTCCTAACATTTTTATCAAAAATACTCATTCCACGAATACTAGACTTGTAGATAATAAGAAATCTTAAGTCTACTTTATTAATGTTCTAAATACTGTACTATAGTGTGTGTGTGTCTGTGTGTGTGTGTGTGTGTATATATATATATATATATATATATATATATATATATATATATATATATATATATATATATATATATATATATATATATATATATATATATATATATATATATATATATTCTTTGCTTGTCTTAAAGCACCATACACAAAGGGGGAACTGTAACATACTCAAGACACAGAAAATAAGCAAAAGCTCATTACAATTAATACCACTCACCACACAAAACCCATTTTTTTACAAAATAGCACATCACAAGGTTGGTACTAACTTGCCATGAGGTTATCAAATAGACAGTCCTGTTCATCAGAACCATCTGGGCAGTCAGGATTTCCATCACACATTTGGGAAGGGGTAAGACACAGAGAGTGGTCTTGGCATAAAAATTTACACATCACCTCCTCCTGTACACTCAGAAAATAGCCTTCCGCAGGAGCTGACGATGGATCAATGTCATCACCATCAATATTATCAAAAAATAAATCTTCTGTGACCCCGATGCCACCGAAATTTGAGCTAGGATTTTTGGTGGGATTCTGGAGATGTACTTCAGGATTGTCTTCAAACTTGGTTGCTGGAGCAGTAAAAATATTCCTAAAGATTCTAAAAAATAGTGAAACAACTTACAGAAGAACTTACCATTATTACAATTAATAATAAAATACATAAAGTTTTAAAAGAAACACTAAGCCATTCATATACAAATGCAGAGAACACATGCAAGGCTCAGAAAACAACATGCTTCAACTGTTAATAAAATAGTAAAACCTTTAACTGATAATAGTTGCACAAGATCATCCTCTCCAACAAGTGGAAGTGTTTCTTAATGCAGCATGTAAATAAAATCATAATGACAAAATTGGCTATACTGCAGGAAAACCACATACAGTATATTGTTATGGTAATATCATGCTATGAATGATTAGTAAGTTATCAAGTCTATTTTTTTAAATATTTGTAGTTTTGTGTACTGCAGTACTTCACAGCTATAACAGGAAGGTCATAATTACATAGATCTTCCAAAAGTATTAAGAGCAGTTTCCTATGTTAAAGTTAGCTCAAACAATATTATCTAACTAAAAAGAAGTGAAATTGTTGAGAATAACGATATTTTGTCTTTTGAAAATGAGGTCTGATTTTGGCAGTACTATTTTACCTGATATTGCATGGTAAGAAAACATCAGAAATAATACAGTAAAGTGTATGAATGATTCAATGCACTAATAATGATATGCAAAGTTCTATGTTACAAAATGTAATTGTATATGTGATGCATATGATACATGAGCTATCGGTGAATGCATACTAGTACTGTATCATGAGCAGAAATTATATAATCATATATGCTTCTGCCATATATTGTATGTGTAATAATAAATTTGATGCATAATGCTAATTTCCATTATTTATAATCAACAATCGACTACAACATTATTAGAATTTTGTTAAAAAGACTACTATTGAATTTTCTTATTTATTGTTGAATGGGAGCAATATTCTGTAATAGCATATATCCCTTACAGCAGTTACAAGGGCCAAATGGCAGTGAACGAGGGATAAACTCCATATTTGTTACTGATTGTGGCTACTACACACAACAGTGGGATAATATGACAGGTTCGGTCCAGTTTCCCTATAATCATACTCTCTAATTATGAATCCTGAAGAAACTCTCTCTCTCTCTCTCTCTCTCTCTCTTTTCTCCTACATTCTGATTCTAATATTGTATATGGTCAGCAGCACGTGACTCTTTCCCCCACTGAATAAATAAAAAGTGCACAGACTTTTCAAAATGAGTTAAGTTTAGTTATTCTAGTTGTTGATACTTCTAGTATTAAGGTAGTTTATAACCAGAGTTTGCAACAATAGTTGATAAAACCCATTTAAAAAATAACAAAGTATCCAAATGATATGAACACTAATGAAAGCAATCAAGTTCACTACAATTTTGTATAATTTTTATAGAAAATATTTTATGTAGAAGTGCAATGGATCATACAGATACAGTACCATAAATTATGTCATGTAAAAAGTTTAACACATGTTTCTAACAACAGCTCATGTACAAGACATTAGATAGAAATAATTTAGTATTCATGATTATCTGCAGTAAGCAATAGTCGTTAATAGTATTAGTTTTGATTTGGACAGAATGAACAATGTAAGTTCCAGTAGCATTAATTTTGGACTGTATGAGTTTTAGTCATATTAATTTTAGACAGAACTTGGGAACTAACCATTGACAATCACTTCAGCAACAGCTCTTGTCGTGCCAGCGCTGTTGATGGCTTCACAGATGTACCGGCCTGCATCAGATGTCTTAATTCCACGGAACTACAGAACAGATATGTGTTAGCTTTGCTGCTCTTCATAGGATTGTATCATTTTCAACTACAGTATTCAGTATTGAGATGTACAAACGAAATATTTGCAAGCATGGTGTAATTTACAGAGATACAAATATCCTATACTGTACTGTGTGATCATCTTACCATCATTTCACCACCATTAATAATAACAGATGGAGGCATATATCCAGATTCCTTGGACCAGTTAATGGTAATGGGTTGAGGACCTGTGGCTGAGCAGCGAATGCGAACTATCTCTCCAGGCCGTACAACTTGACGTGCTGGGTCCAAACTTATCCGTGGAGGTGCTGTAGAATGATATAAAGTCATTAGAGAAAATATCTAACTAATGAACAGTAAACTCTCTAACAGGATGGCATTGCCATGATTAATCACGGGATCTTGGGCAGTGTACAGGTACTATTAACAAGAAATTATTCCAATTACATGACTGTATTTCCTATGCATCTGTAATTCCCTGCCACCACACTGCTCTACACACTGATTGGGTAGACTCTATCCAAGGTACTCAGACAGCATGATGATAATTGAGTGGCTGTGAGGGGAGCAAGATATTTTGTGGGGCCTCAACTTCTCTCCTGGCATACAGTGTTGTATATCCCTTTGTGGATTTTTCATGACTAACCTTCCCACAGTCTTTCAAACAGATTGCATCGCTAAGTGCTCCAGTGTTGGTGTGACCCCTCCTCTACACCCATATCTCACACTGAGAGCACCCCTCCCATAAGCAGAAATGCTGGAACAATGGACTGGCCTCATCAACCACCTAAGTTGCTCCCGCTAGCCTTGGGGGCTGGCAGATGCATCATTAAGGATGCAATTTGGGTCTGGCTTGCTCTACTCAATGTTTACTTAATTGGAAAAACCATTCCTATTAATGACCTGACCTGTGTCTAAAGACTGTGAGGGGGGTGAGATTTCTGGCCATGGTCAGGAATACCAGGGGATTAATTTAATTTTGTTTATAATTTATGGCATAATGTGAGAATGTGATGACCCAGCACTATGTTACAGTACACTATACCCTAATTAATTTTGGATCATCATAATTCAGATTTTGGCTGCTACATAAAATATTCTTATATAATTACTGTGCAAAAATAAATATTTCTGAAATATACATACAGCAATAATAAAGTATAAAATATAGTTATAAATAGATGTAACACTTACTGTACATCGAACACTACTATTCAGTTAATTCAGATTTTTTGGTAATTCGGGTGACCCAGAGCCAATTTTTTGTCGAATTACTAAAAGATATATATGATAAATAAAATCAACATCAATGTAAGTTTATTAATGCATGCATTCTAATTTCTATTTGCTGGATAACTTCACTTAACGGGCTCCTCTCCACCAAATAACCCATTAATTAAAGAGCTAACTATAACGGATTTTTTTTTCAGTTTCCATAACTAAAACAACATAAGTCAAATTTAATCCCTGCAGACACATCAGATGAGGGAAACCCAAGTTTCCCACATTGTGAAGAAAAAAAAAGGCCTGCTAGTATTTACCATGCATTACCTACTAGTCTTCCACTTCTACTCTCATTCTAGTATTCATAGTTTGAACTACGTATAGTGTCAAATATGAAACACCTTTCCTTACCTCGAGCTACAGGTGAATCCAATGTTTGATTGAAAGAAAAACAGTAATACTATTATGAGAAGGGAATGGCAGGTGACCTTACACTTAAAATTGACATTGTACTCTAAAAATGTTTACCATAATTAAAAAATCAACAAGATCAGTCTAAAACACACTGGTCACAATATTATAAAATTTATGCTTTTTTTCTTTTTTTTAAACAGGCAGATTGCAATTTATGAGGATTTGGTTTACAAAATTTTTAATTTTTATGTTAAAAAATCCTACACTTTGATTTATGGACGAAAACCCCAAAGTTAAATTTGTTTTCATTATTTATGTAATTTTTTCACAAGCCATAATGGAAATTTGCCAATAAACATGATGGTTATTCAAGCTAAGGCCATATTTTCATAGATAAGGTTCTTCAATCCTATTACAGTAGAACCCCAATTATTCAGCACCTACGGGGATTGACATGTGTTGGATAAAGAGTTTTCCTGTCAGTTGAGTCTCAATCTTTGGATCCCCCAACAAATCCTACAATGCACAGTGCTACAGGCTGACCCCACAAATGTGTGTCTCAGAAAAACAGACTTCTTTAACACTTATTCCACTCTGTATAAGTGATGTAGCTAAGAAATAAAGATGATATAATTTAAAATTATAAAATCAGAAAAATGATATAATTTAAAATTATAAAATCAGAAAAATGTGGGAAAGTGTTGGAAGAGAATGTGTGTGGGGCGGTGGGATGTAACTGTGTCACCGACTCGCCAGCCCAGGTGCCACGTATATTGTTACTTGTAATGAAACTATAAAAGTGGTGGAAAAATCATTACAATACAGTAGGATTTCAAGTTTAGCGAGTTTTAGTTTTGTTTCATTTGTTTCACAGCATTTTTAGAATTTCCAGCCTCTCATGATTCACGATTTTCATTACCATCTTCACTAGTCAAGGGAGAGCAGGCAGCATGCATTGTGGTGGATCCTTTGTTATCCGCAGTCTTTTTTGTTTACGGCAGTTAGTTTGAATGAGTGAGAGCGAGCGGCGCAGTGACCTTGGATTATACAACCCATTGTGCCTATGTTTCATGAGATTCTAGTGTACTATTACCGATTCTTGTATAATAACAATAAATGAGGTGAATAATGTAAATGTGGGGAGTGGTACTGGTGGTAATGACGGCTGTAGAGAAGGTGAGGATGACAGTCCCAAGCCAAGCGTGACTAATGTTAGAGGGTCAAGAAGAGGAAATGCACCCTTAAAATGAAGCAAACAGTTGCTTGAGATGATCAAAAGTGGTGCTAATAACTGTGCAGCCATGAATAGGTTCAACTGCCCCGAATCTACCATATGTTCCCTTAAGAAGAACAAGGAAGCCTTAACTGCTTCTGTGAATGTATTCTCAAGATTTTTTAGTAACAGGATGTTTTCCAATACTTCACAACGAAACCTACTGCTTGTTATCACAGAACATTACCTTCACAAGTGGGTAGAAAGAAGAAACTGTGAGCAAGGCGACCTGTCTGGTCCACAGATAGAGCATCAAGCACGTGTTTATTACGCTGCAGTTGCACAGAAGAAACGCGTTAACTCTCCACCACCATTCAATGCTTCTGTTGGTTGGTTGGTTGGCTGCTTTTAAGAAGCATTATGAAGTCTAGTTTGCTCACTACCATGGGGAGAGTGCATAAGCCAATGTTGTAACAGCACAAAAATATTTACCTGTCTTTCAAGCTCTTTTGAAAGAGGGTGGTTATTGCTGAGACCAGATCTTCAATTGTGACGAAACTGTCATTTTCTGGAAGCGCTAACCCAACCACTTTCATTGCCAAGGATGAAAAACAGGCAAGAGATGTAAAGACTTCAAAGGACAGGATTACAGTTTTATCCACAGCTAATGTAAGTGGAGATTTCTTGATAAAACCCCTGATTGTTAACCATGCTGCCCATCCTAGAGCCTAACCGTCATGCCAATATGTCACACCTCAATGTTTATTGGACGTTTAATAAGCCAGCTTGGGTTACGACATCTTTATACACCGATTGGTTTGACAAGCACTTTGTTCCTGACACCCAACAGTACTGCCGGAGGAAGAACATTGACTTCAAAGTGATCCTGGTGATGGATAATGCTCCTCGACACAAGTTTCTAATTGGACGCTACCCTAATGTACAAGTTATCTTCCTTCCTCCTACCACCACATCGCTTCTGCAGCCACTTGACCACAAATTCATCAGTACAGTATTGTTAAACTGTTCTACTATCAGTCACTCTATTAAGACTTTCGTCAGCAGACAGACTCATTAGTTGAGTTACAACAAATCGAAGCAGAACTTTCTGACAGCGACCAGGCTCTACCAGCACCAGCTAACTAGGAGGAGGAGGAGATGGTAGACAACCCGACTACTAGTACCTCACATGTACCACCCCGCAACCTTTAGGTGTTATCAGATTGTGAATTTAGGAAGAAATATAGGAGTAATATTAAAAATGCAGTGGATAGAATTGTTGAAGCATGGCGTAAGATTAATGTTGCAACAGTGCTACACGCATGGAAGTCTTTGTTTGCTAACCCCGAAGTAGGTGGGGTAGAGCAGACCGAGGCAAGAGAGGAGAGACAGTCCATGGCGGCATCACTAATGACACTGTGGAGGTAGTGCGGTTAGTCCCAGCCCCGGGATTTTTTAATGTTCAAGTTGAAAATTTGCAAGAAATCATTGGTTAATGCCAGCAGCAACTGAGAATTGATGAAATGTTGGAGGAGGATGAAAACCAACAAGAGCAGCAACCAACACAAGAGGATGATGTTAAGCCTGGTGAACCTACAACACACCAGCTGACTGATGTGCTCAAAAGCATCAAACGTGTCAGTGAACAGCTATAAGAATATGATACCAGGCCTCATCCTAGGAACCTTATCTGCCCTGCTCTTGATTAGGTTATGGAGGAATATAAGGCTTTGTACAAGTCCCGTGTTAATGCTCATCAGCAGGCCCTTATTACTCGGTACCTGTGCAAGGCCCAGCCTGTTAATGCTTTGGCAAACATCACTTCAGGAGATGATGATGACACCACAGATGATGATATTGAATTGTTGGGTGATTTGCTGGTGGAAGAGCTGCCCCAAGACTTTTAAGGATTTGATGCTGAAGTTAGAGGAAGTGAAGAGGAGGGAGCAGGTAGGAAGCAGTAACCAATCATCCCTGCCTCAGAACCCATTAACCATTTCACTGACTCTATCAAGGTAAGTTATTCTACAGAGTGAGTATGTATAAATAATGTCATCAACAATATGTACAATATAATATGTATGAATATATTATAGTAATGTCATTTTCTGGGTAGGTTGTAGGTCATTATAGAGGGGTTTGGGTGACTGACCATCGAACCAATTAGGTTTATTTACATCTATTTCAACGTCACTCGTTTGGCGATTTTGAATTTTGTGATGCTACGGCGGCACCAATTAGTCGCTAAACTCGAGACCCTACTGTACTATAATGTGATTTAGAAATATATGAAAATATAAAATAAGAAAATGAAGAGCATGGGTGTGTATGTGTGGGAAATGAACATATGTAGAGGCAGTGGGCTTTAACTGTGTGGCCACGCTCCGTACCCGATGTGACATCATGGAATACACACAGCACGCCAGCCACATGTCTGTGAGTTAGCTGGTTGATTGCCTGGCTGAACTGGGTCACATTGCCTACAGGATGGTTCGAGTGTGGAAGGAGCTATTTTTTGTACATAAAATATATGCTATAATAATTTATGATATGCTATGTATTAATTTTATTGTTTATCATAGCAATAAATATGGGAGCTCATCCCCATTGTGCGTGGTATTTAAATTTACAATTCTAGCTGATTTTGGAGGACTTTTTATTTTTATTATTACATGCATTTCCAGAGTTACGACTGTTTGATTTACAATCATCTGCACTTACGAACGGATCACAATACATTCATCGCAAATTTTTTATTTAAAGTCCCATTTTTTACATTATTTGTTATGTATGGGATATTATTGTTGTTTAGTCTGGGCAAGATTGTGCTTTAACCTAACCTAAACTATGGAATTAACACTATTATGACTTACAAACAAATCAAATTACGATCAGGGTCCAGGAACCTACACCTATCGTAAGTTGGGGACTGCCTGTATTATATCATTTTGATGCCAGTTGGTTGACTCTTCCAGTTACCCGAAGTCCGGATACCAGGGTTCTACTGTACTAAGAGTACAAGAGTACTCTTACTGCTATGAGAACTGATCCTTGTATTTCTCTTAAGACCTTATTTCAAAGCTAAAATATCTTAAATTATAAATATAATTAATTCAAGAAAACAATGTCTGGTTCTGTTTTTGTGTAATGAATATTTATGATTCAACAAAGAACATTTATAATCAAACAATGTAGACAGAATGATAACTGTAATGGGATTAGGTGTACCTCGGGGAGTACACGGGTCTCCTGCAGGACGCAGCACAGGGGAAAACATATCACATTTCAGCACAACAATATGAACATCATATAAGTATCTGTACTAAAATTTTCATCCCTTAGCAATTTTTCATATATTACAGTTGTTACACAAAACATATATATAACAAAAACAAAAAACAAAACAATGACAATAAAAATCTGCCTGAATTATTAAGGAAAATTATCAAAATATGAAATCCCATTTTTGCAATTAGTGACAAATGATAATGTGACCCCGTGAGTGAAACTTTTACATGGGATCGGACTAGCAGAGCCTGTGAATCAACAATTGAGTTGGCAGACATCAGCTGTAGATAAAAAATCAATTTTGCAATACGGGTTGAAATACTGTAATAATTTTTCAATCTTGGGAACATCAAAACTCTTGGCCTCTCCTCTCATATCTTGCATGTCTTCTAAATAAGGAAAGGTCTTGCTAACTCAGCTAATACACTTTACATTGCCAATAATGGATGAATTTATATGGGAAAAAGTTACTTCTCACTACATAAAAAAATAAATTCTTAGTTTGTGTGAGATTTCAAATTTTACTCACAGGATGAAAATAAATGTTAATGGGTTTGGTAGCCAAAGCTGTGTTGTGATATTTGTCACATTATACATAGCATGTGCCTAGTGCACGGAGTTTTAATGAACTTTTTCAATTGACGGGGGTTGTCGTGTTTACAACCAGAGTTTTAATAAAGTTGAATCATGAATGACACCACACTATAGTGCTTGACAGGGAGGTGTGGATATAAATTTAACTTATAATATTGGAATTAGCTCATTTTATTGCCACACCTCCCCATCAAGCACTGTAGTGTGGTGTCCTTCGTGATTTATTTATTTTTTTAAACTCCGGTTGTAAACACGACAACCCCCATGAATGGAAGATAGTGATTAGAACTTCAGGTGTAAATGTAGAGGGGATGAGAACCAAAAACAGGCCAAGAATGACATGGGGAGAGATTGTAAGAATAGACATTAGACTTAAGAACCTGACAAGAAAGACTGCAAGACACTGTGTAGTATGGAGAGCTTGCTGCCAGCAGGTAACAGCAGCTAACCCATGCAAGTTTGGAAAATGGCCATAAAATGATGATGATTATCACATGCTCATCAATCCTACTAAATTTGGTGTAAGCCTAAAAACCTGCTCTCAAATTATTTTTGGGTTACAGACAGACAGAGATCAAAAACTATATTTTGCCCGGCAATCATGGGGAGGGCAAACCTCAATTAATCAGCTTGCCAAAAAAATAAAGCGAAGATAAAAATGTAGGATTTTCAGGAGGAATAACTCATTTGAATACTGAATGATTTCACAAAAATGTGAGATGAGTCTGTGACTCTGCTACTGTTACACAGCCTTTATTGTAAGAGAGGAGAGTCCATGAGCTTCAAAGCTCAAGCACTCACAATGCTATCAATAATATGGTGACTTGATTTGTTCCTGATTCATTTCATCCTGTATTGGGTTCCTGACTTGTGGTTTTTAATAGGTAGTTAGCAAATATTGCCCATGAGATATTGCGAGTGTCTCAAACACCACTTTCAAATTTCATAACTACAAAGTTATTTAACAAAATGTACTCACCAAGAACTTCAATTTGAGAGTAGATGGTAAAAAGAATTCTGCCTGTTAGACGATCTACACCCACACACTGATACTCTCCTGATGCAGACTCATCGGCATTATTCAGATGCAAAACATTATTCTCAATACGGGCCCCCACTGGTAGTGGTCGCCCGTCACTACGCTCAAAAATAAATCTGGTATTATCTGCATCAGGACCTGAAAAAAGAATTATGCAAATATTTAATAAACCCTTTAATACATGCTCTGCACCTAAATTTGCGCAATTTAAATGTACTCCATTTACTCCAGTATTTACAGGTTTCAGCCATACATTTACCTGTCCTAATTATAAATAGTTTACTAAACCACATACTGGTTCATCTCAGCAAAGTGAGTCACCTTAGCATAAACAGTATTGCCCTATACCTCTGTGATTTAACACTCCCCCAAAAAGTTCATTATACCATTCTATGGTTTACAAGTCCACCTTAGTTCATAAAGTACTTGTTTATCCTAGCATATTTTGATTCACTCCAATACATAAGAATTCATCCAAGAATAAACTGGTTCATTCAATACAGTGTACTTACTGGTTCACCGAGTTCATTATTTATTTGCAGAGGTTATTCGGTTCACTCATTTGGTGTCTAAAAGTTCAAAATAATCGATCAAAAATTAAGGCAAAAACACTGGTGAACAAATTGTGAACAAGATAAGAGGTCAGGACAAAAGATCAATTAAAGTGAGATATAAGGGATGTAAAAGCCTAGGTCCTTTTATGGATGGACCTCCTAATATGGTAACCAATAGAACCATAACAAATAACATAATTCATACCACGATTAAAGCAAGAGAAATCATAAGACCCTCCAACAGGAACAAAGATTGTTGAAGAATCATCTGGCCTAGTAGGTTGTTCAGGAAGAGTTTCTGCTGGCCGATTGCCAGGCAGAATATCCTCAATAGTCAACTGGATTCTCTCCTCACTCATACCTGAAAAATTTACAATTAATTTTAGTTGTGTGAAAACATGTTAGCATAATATATATCCTACATTAAAAAATCTAAAATACAAACACAATACACCTTAATCACTGAAAGGCAAATGAGGAAGGTAACTCTCTTTAAATCATAACTTAGAATAAAAGTAATTTTAAGAATTAGTCTTATAAATAGGTAACAGGTTAATAGAGAGAAAAAAAATCTTCTCCGGTAAAAGACTTTCAACTCAAGTCATATTTTTTAGTACCTTTCTAGCAGTCATTCCTTTAATACAGTCACCCCTCAGCATTAGCAAAATTGGTATTTGTGAATTACTGTTTAAATGGGAAATAAAGGAATGCATTCCAACCCCATCCACAAGATGACCTATTGCTCAAACAAGCAAAACACAAAAGAAATTAAACTTAAGATAAATTTATTTCAAGTACAGTAGTCCCCTATTCCTTATGAGTCTGAGCAATATGAATCTGCATATACAGGTATCCCTCATTTAACAATGAGGTAGCGTTCCTGAAAAACCTAACTTTAAGTGAAAATATCCCTAAATAAAGGATAACAGCAGAACAAGGAGGGCGAAGAACAGGTTCAAATGGAAGGGCGGTAAACACTGTCCTGTACTCCCTAATAATAATAAACAAGTTTGTTATATATGGTTTGAAATTAAACAATTGATTTACTATCACCAAACTTCTACATAAATAACATGGTTCAGGGTTAGACAATTTAGTGAGCAAACGGTGAGACCTAATTTGATTAAATTTCAGATTGCAAATGAAAAAAAATTAATAAAAAAATAAAAAAAATGCTATGATGAACAATAAAATTGATACATAGCATAAAATACAATAGCAACTATTTCATGTACAAAAGAAGAAAAAAATGCTCCTTCACTCAAACCACCTTCTGGGTGATGCAACACAGTTCAGCTGACTCCAAGACATATGTGTGTGTGTGTGTGTGTGTGTGTGTGTGTGTGTGTGTGTGTGTGTGTGTGTGTGTGTGTGTGTGTGTGTGTGTGTGTGTGTGTGTGTGCCATGACGTCATATCGGGGGAAGGGAGCACGGCTGTGCGGTGTCGTAGTGAGTCAGCGATCCAGTTACAGCCCACTGCTTCCACACATACGTTCACTTCATGCATATACACAGCCATGTTCTTCATTTTTCTTATTTTATAGTTTTATGTAATATTTTCTTCGTTTCTAAGCCACCCTAGAGTTTTGTTATGACTTTTCCACAAATTTTACAGTTTCATTCATCACGTAACAATGGCAACATGCCATTTCACAGGCCACCCCATCCTCAGTTCTTTCCCCTTCCCAGTGAGTCAAGCTACCGCTAAACCAAATTTTGACCTAACATTAGGTGAGAAGGGATGTAAATAAAAATTTATTCCAAAACCAAATTAAAGTAATGTTAAGTGGATTAACATTAAATGAGGGATACCTACATGAAAAATATAATTGTAGCACTAATCCACCCAACATGAAGGTAAACCCAACTTTATGAAAGTTCATGTGAGTTGCCACGTGACTGATACTAATTAAAATTTGGCACACACCTGGTCCTCCTTTTCTGAACCTACATTACTCTTCTAATATTCTGCAATTTTCTCAACAATTACTCTACTATGCACTTTCACTGCCTTTTATTCATGTACAAGTTTCTTTATGCAAGAAAGTATACATGCTCTCTGCTATTGCTGTTATAAACAGCTTCTTGATTTCACCTTTTATCCTTAATGTATTGCCATAAGAAAGCTTTTTGAGAGCTGGAGTCTTATAATAAATGAAAATGAAGTCTCAAATCAGTATGAAAACTGAACTGACATGAAACATTGTAAATGATGTAGATGTAATTTATATGCATGTTGAAACATGAGGAGGTTTGTTTATGTATAACCCAATTTATTTAATAAGATGATTTTGACTTACCAGCAGAGTTCCTTGCAGTACACTGGTAAGTCCCTTCATCAGCTCTTGTAACACTGGCAATCTCATATACAGCAACACCAGGACTAACTGATTGACTTGGTCTGTAATCATTTAATATCAAAGAAGTTAACAACAACTTATTCACTATCTGAAGAGAAACATAACAACAATCATGATCTTTTCTAAACCAGTGAAGCCTCACTACAGGTAGTTCAGAATATATTGAAAATATCAACAAAGAATAAAATTCTAAGCAAACTCTGAAATACCCGGTAAGCTAAAGTCTGAAATCTCTTATGCGGTACAGCCTGAGTGTGCACACTTCCATCCATGCTTTTTGTTATGACAGTTTGCTGGAAGTCACATGTAAATTTTATTAATTTGACTCAAATTTTTGTCAAGTTGAACTCATCCTTCTCCCATCTAGTTCAAAATAGTGAGGTTGTAATGTGAGTAAAGCAGTACCAGAATGGGATAAGAACCACAACCAGCCAAACACATTTTCTTTGTGAAATGCATAGTTCAGTTTTCCCCCTCTCAGGTACAAATATAGTGGATATTTCTTCAGGACACTGCAAACATGGATGAAAATCCATTGAAAAAAATTATGTCAATGCGACCTTACTGTAGTACAATTTTGGATGTGATTTTCTCGCTTTTTAAAAAAGGCGCTTATCCCATTCTGGTGCTGGGCTATTCATATATGATGTAGCATATGAAAAATTGATAACAAAATAATATATAGATGATTATCATATTGCATGTAAAAAGTGTCTTAAGAAGAAATAGCTTACATGTTGGATGGGAAGTTGACCTGCAATTTTTGCCAGGACACAGATGGAGCTGGGTCACCTTGGACAGAACATTCAAAGCGAACACGCTCACCAATACGTATTGAGTGTGGTGAGGGCCCAGGTCGAATGGTTATTACTGGCAATGATTGTATTTCCAGTATGGCAACAGCTGTTACTGTCCCAGCTGCATTCTCTGCTGTACAAGTGTATGATCCTTCTTCATCACCTTGAACCTGGTTGAATCTGTTTTGAAAATAAATTTTTTTTAAAAAGTTTATGCATTATTGCTTTTGATTCATCTTTAAAGGGAGAAAACCTTCATTATGACATTTCTGGGTACAGTAGTTCCTTAATTCTACAACAACTTCATTAAGATGAGCTAGGGGTTTAGACACCATGATAAGCGTAAGTCACTAGCATATATATGGTACATGGTCTACCCCCACCCAGTAATGAAGAGATTAAAATTAATGATTATTTTCTTTCTACATGACCTATTAACTGTGATATGAAATAAGTTAAGCATACATAGACTCTAATTAAAAATACCTGAGAACACCCCCATTTAAGGTTTCGGTGTTGGGTGTTAATGGACGACGATCAGTACGAGCCCATCGGACAACTGGGTTGGGGATACCCGCTGTCAAATGGCACTGGAAGAGGGCACTTGCACCAATAACAATGGTCTGTTTCACTTCAGGATATATTTCAATTACAGGAGGTTCACGACCTGAAAAGATATAAAATTCACATTTAAGTACTCCTACTTCTGACAAAAATTCAAATCGTTAAATAAGTCACTCATAAAAGAAACAGGCCCCACCGAGAGAGAGGTTCTTGGAACTTGCGGCCTATCAGTTCTGGTAACAGTACAGTCGACCCTCGTTAATTTGGACTAATAGGGGGGAAAGGGTGTCCGTTTTAGCCGATTGTCCGAATTAACCAATTCAGGGGATAATATTGCATTATATTTCAAAGTCATTGTTTTCGTCACGATTTTATCCCACTTTCCACTGTAATACGTACGTAATTTCAGCAAAAATATTACATTTCCGTGAATGTATTATATCAAGAACATCGGAAGCTTAGGTAAAGTCTTTTGTTTTCGTCATGTATTTTATCCTATTTTACATTGAAATACATCACGTTTCAGCAAAACTACTATTTATTTCCAAGAATATATTCATTCAGGCGCAGTTTAGGTAAAATATATGTGTGATGTAGCAGTTTTTTAACTGAAAACGATTCGAAAAACACGTACCCTCTAGCCCTGTTCAAGGAGAGGACTGGGAGAAGCTGTTTGGTGCTGCAGACGATGACAAGGAAAATGATTTGGATGGATTTTAATGAAAATATTCAGAAATATGGTATCGTAGTATTTATTCAAGTCAATTAGGATAGGATATTAATGTAATACAACAGTTTCTTAACTGAAAACCAATTGAAAAGCGATTATGGTAACATCTTTTGAATGAAAGAAAGCGAAAGTCATTGTTTTCGTCACGATTTTATCCCACTTTCCACTAATACCTACGTCATTTCAGCAAAAATATTACATTTCCGTGAATGCATTATATCAAGCACAGTATGAATAGAATACCATTGTAATATAACAGTATTTTAACCAAAAACTATTAAAAAAACGAGTAACTTCTCTAGAACATCGGAAGGTTTGGTAAAGTCTTTTGTTTTCGTCATGTATTTTATCCTATTTTACATTAAAATACATCACGTTTCAGCAAAACTACTGTTTATTTCCGAGAATATATTCATTCAGGCACAGTTAAGGTAAAATATACATGTGATGTAACAGTTTTTTAACTGAAAACGATTCGAAAAACAAGTGTACCGTGTAGCTGATACTCAACAGCTGGTGGTGCGTCATGTGTCGTTGTAAACAATAGGAGGTTGAAGTAGATTACCGGGTATTATATTAAGTGTGAAATATCAAAAAGGTTTTTATTACCAGTATTTTTTGTAGATCAATGAGAACTGTGATACCGTATATGATATGATAAGTTAGCCTGTGCTAAGAACTTCAACATAGACTACTGAAAACACGTTGTAAGGTAATTTAGCCTATTGTAAGTTGGTGAGCTTCATTTGCTGAAGGAACTGCACAACTTTTCATTACTAATTGGTACAAATTTTACGTTTCCATTGTTTACTGGCAGTAAATGGTAAATATTTTTCATGTTTGAAGCTAAAAGTTGCATCCCCCCCACACTAGTGGTGATGTTACATTTGACCAAAAAGACGCTGGCATTTTATCCCAGCAGTGGGTGGACCAGCATTTTAGCTTAAGGTCCGCGTAGGTAATATTCCTACAAATCTTAAAAAAAAAAAAAAAAAAAGTTCGTTCAGATTTTATATGAATTATCCGAAATCCGGATGAAAGGAGTCCGAATTAACGAGGGTCGACTGTAAACCTAACATGGGGGAGGGGGGTATCACTTTCATCTGTGCCAACAACTACCTAGGGGTCATGTCTCATTTCAGGAATAAAACAAGGTGAATATAACAGCATAATTATGTTACCTTTATGTGTTGTATTCTAAGATCCTATTATCATTAAATTGACCTAATTCATTGCATTATACCCATATTACAGGAAAAATATAATATTTCATTCTACAAAAAAAAATATTATTTAATACTTCCCAAAATATCACGTCTTCATTTCAGAAAAAACTAATAAATTACGATATTGCATTTATTATACCATAATCACTATGTTAAGTGTGAGAAATCACAACTTTTGTAGTTAGTTACAATATTGTTTTGGTAGTTAACAGTAGTATCTCTGTTAGCTGGAATTCCTCTTAACTGGAACTCGATAATTGCTGGAATTGAAATTTTCTTCTTAACTCGCTCCCAAGATTTTCTGAGAGGCATATTTTCTGGAAAATTCAGAGAAATTCTCCCAGTACTCGGTTAATTCTGGAATATTCCAAGGGTGGGGGGGGGGGTCTTTTTCATGGCTTGAGAGATAAAAATCAGGAGAATTTTCTGGAAATTCCGATTAAATATTTCTGAGTTACCGGAAATCCTGGGGAGGTGGGATATTTTTCTGGGTTCAAGAGATGATACAATGCACAGTTTCTGGAACTTCAGGGAACAATTTTCCATTACGCGGAAAATTCCAGAGAGTCGTCTTATTACTTGGAAATCTCACATTCCTGGTAGTGCTTGACACCAATTATTCCAGCTAATGGAGATATCACTGTTTATATAATTATGTAATATGTAATTTTCCATAATTACAGGAAAATAAATGGTTTCATTCTATAATTAAGTTATTATTTAATACATCCCCCACTCACATATGGTCACGTAAAATAAAGCAAACTTAGTAATTAATATTTTGCATTTGATATACTGTAATCATTAATAGGGCAATGTATTACTCCATGAAAACCACCCAGGTTAAATTAAATGCATACAGGTTGTAAAATTGCATGGTTATTTAGTGATGATATTAGGATCTTAAAATATAATGAGTAAAGATAACATAAAAAAATGCTTTTGTATTCACCTAGTTTAGGTGTGCATGAAATGAGACATGATTCGAAGCAGTGGTTTGTGCAGAAGGCAGTGACCCACCACCTCCCCACAACACCACCCCTATGTCAGGTTCATTGTTACCAGATCTGAACTGCCACCAGTTATAAGAGCTCTCGCCTGGGAGAAGCTCATCTCTTTCGTGAGTGACTGTTTATCATAACATGAAAACAGTTTACTAAAAAAAAAGTTTATACATCATTTCCTAGTAAGTAACAGAAGTTAGATTGTCTGGCACTGAAGATGGTAATCACTACATCAGGGTTTTCAATTGCAAATCATAATATAGAAATAAAATTTTGAAAACAAGCAAGATAAAGTCATTCATACACAATGGGAAATTTTGGCTATGGAATTCTGTCCTCACTCAAATCAAGTGTTATCTGTGCTGTGTGTGACTAATACAGGTATTAACTTGTATTCACACACAGCACATATAACACTTAGTGTGTGGGCATGTGTCTCTGTGTGTGTGTGTGTGTGTGTGTGTGTGTGTGTGTGTGTGTGTGTGTGTGTGTGTGTGTGTGTGTGTGTGCGTGTGTGTGTGTGGGCGTGTGTGTGTGTGGGCGTGTGTGTGTGTGTGGGCGTGTGTGTGTGGGCGTGTGTGGGCGTGTGTGTGGGCGTGTGTGTGTGTGTGCGTGTGTGTGTGTGTGTGCGTGTGTGTGTGTGTGCGTGTGTGTGTGTGGGCGTGTGTGTGTGTGTGTGTGTGTGTGTGTGCGTGTGTGTGTGTGTGTGTGTGTGTGTGCGTGTGTGTGTGTGTGTGTGTGTGTGTGTGTGCGTGTGTGTGTGTGTGGGCGTGTGTGTGTGTGTGTGTGTGTGTGTGTGTGTGTGTGTGTGGGCGTGTGTGTGTGCGTGTGTGTGTGTGTGTGTGTGTGCGTGTGTGTGTGTGCGTGTGTGTGTGTGTGTGGGCGTGTGTGTGTGCGTGTGTGTGTGTGTGCGTGTGTGTGTGTGTGGGCGTGTGTGTGTGTGGGCGTGTGTGTGTAAATACAGGTGTTAACTTAAAATTTGTCAATGCAACTACATCTTATAATTTTCTATGGGCTGATTTGAAACAAGGTAGGCATCATCATAACCACTCAAAGGTGTGCCTGTACTTTTTCTGGGTCATATGTGGTTAATGGTGAAGGTCACTTTTTTACTATTTAGTCAATATGCAGAAAAAATTTTGCACACCTATATTTCAAGCTAACGCTCAAACCCTAGACACTGGCCATAGAGCAAAGTTTATAGGGCATCTAAACTATAAATTACAATAGTACAGTAATCACAAAAATTACTTACGATCAACTTCCACTATTGCTGCTGCCTGTGCAGTGCCTCCATTATTTTCAGCTGCACATATATACATGCCACGATCATTTACCACAGCATTGGTTATTCTAAGAATATTTCCATCTGCAATTACTCCAGAACCAAATTCTTCATTCACCTGTAAAAAGAAATACCCATGCTCTTAATTTTTCTTATTTTATAGTATTATATAATATTTTCTTTATTTCTAAGCCACATAAGAGTATTGTAATGATTTTTTCACAACTTTTATAGTTTCATTACAAGTAACAATATATGAGGCAGCTGGGCTGGCAAACTGGTGATGCAGATATAACCCACAGCCTTCAGAGATGTTCAGTTACCACTTATAACACCCATGCCTTCATTGTTTTTTTAATAGTTTCATTATATCATTTTTTTTTACTCCTAAGCCACATCATTTATCAAGAGTGAAATAAGTGTTAAAGAAGTCTGTTTTTCTGAGACATGAATTTACAAGGTCAGCCTGTAGCACTGTGCATTGTAGGATGTATTGGGGGATCCTAAGAGTGAGATTCAACTAACCAGAAAATCTCTTTATACGGCACCTTTCAATCCCCACAGGTGCTGGGTAACCGGGATTCTACTGTATTTCCTTTTTATAAACTTCCGACTCATCACAGACAATAATGTAAATCATCAAAATACATTGAAATGGATAAGCTACATAGAAAATCTAACCAAACTTAACTTTACTCAATCCCTTCACTATGGGTAGCCACCTTCAACATTTTATTTGGCTAACACCAAACGATTTTATTCAGCACAGAGAGGATCCTGAACACACTTGATTAACCTTATATAACATTGCCTGTTAATTCATCCAATTTATTCATTATAATGTGTGTCAAATTTAAATACAAAGAAATTCATAATGATATGGAGAATTGGAGAATTAGATGAAGTGCAACACAGGCAAATCTATCATTTATATCAACCTTTTATAATATTTAACAGGAAATTCTATTATCTAGTATGGGCCTGGTTCCCATGATTGCCAGATAAGGGAAGGTTAATATGAACACTAATCATAAATACTTAACATGAAAAGCATACTACCTTTGACCATGTAATAACTGGAGCTGGGTCACCAGACACAATGCAATGAAGTTCTGCAGTTGAACCCTGGTTAATAGTCTGGCGATCAGGCCGAATTTGCACTGTTGGTATGTTTCTGTAAAGTAAAATTGCAATTATTACGATTAGCTTTTCACTGAAAACTAAGCTTCATCATAGGTAAAAAAATCATAAAATTTTTTGTATTGTAAATTAATTAGGGAATACAAAATATTACTAAATTATAAAATCCATGTAATTAGATACACACATTAAGCCTAATGGTTCTATTTTATACTGGTAAAGTTCTGTACACCTACTCCATGTGATATAGATCCTTCACCTGTTCTCACCTGAGATGAGCTACTGTAGTAAGAATTAGAGCTGAAGTAACCTTTTGTATCAAAGTTTAGCTTTACAAATAGTTAACCCATTTACTAACTGCAGTTACTTCAAAAAAAATTTAAAATTATAGGATTGTATTAAATACAAAATATCATAAGAATGAGGAAGCAGGGTTTTCAATCAAAATAAATATAATACAAATTTTTCAAAGGAGATAGTCATAGACCTGAAAAAAAAATGATGGATACCCAAAATTCTAAAGAAACTTACGCAGTGATAGTGATTTGTGTTATAGACTCTTCAAAGGAGTTGGTTCTTTCATCTGTAATTCGGCATATATATGTGCCACTGTCTGCTGGGCGAGCATCAGGAATTTGTAACTCACCACTTTCAATTACTGCTTGCTGAAAATATACATAAAACAATATAAAAAGCTGATCATGTATGATTAATGCTACAGGCTATAGACCCAAATAAGGGGTATAACCCCTGGGCTTCAGGCTATGGTAGGCACCCCCACCCCCCCACATGGGTATATTTGGTATCATTTAAAAAACAAATAAAAAGCAATTCTATTCTTACAAACTGGCCATGCATGATATAAACAGGAGATAAATAAATGTCCTTACCACAAGTTGGCAACACCGAGGCAACGAAGAGTCAAGAATGTTCGTGAAGTGAAATGTGTATGTGATATTTGTTGTAGCTCATAAAATTCATACAAATTACCCGGCCAGAATATAATTTACATTGCTGGAATTCTTACAATATGATGATCGTTTTTAATATAAACATCATGGATTTTGCATTAGACATACAAATTTTAGATCTAATGTAATAATTTGGTTTACACAAAGCAAATATTTTATCTTTTGTGCAAAATATATGAAGTTTACATTCAAAATATTCCCTGACCTGCAAGGAATCCAGAAATGTCAATTATATTATCCTAACTTTAGTCTGAGGTATTATTTATTACTAAACGTTAAAATCTAGTGTTTTCACCCAAACATTTCTCAGAGAGGTAGGGCTAGTGAGCTGGGAAGAGGGGGGGGGGATTTGAGTCCATTATTTGAATGGATATTAACCTGGCGACTGTATTTCTTTTAAATATTAATTGTGTGTGCATACCATCATAAAATTTAGATGTTATTTTTACTACAACATAGGTATTGTGTCGGAAAAAGTGGAGTTTGGTGGCCAGTCTCTATTGGAATTAATCCCATATGTTCTGTTGTTCACTTTACGCGGTTTTCACTTTCCGCGGTACCCCGTGGGTTCAATTGACTGTAAATCGGGGTACTATATATATATATATATATATATATATATATATATATATATATATATATATATATATATATATATATATATATATATATATATATATATATATATATATATATATATATATAGTAATAACAAAAATTTAAGCTCAGGGGTCTGAAAAATATGATATTTAATTTGTGTTTTTTTGAAACAGCTGGATCAAGGTAGAGGTTTTATCCTTGTTAATCACTGTATCACCTGATAGGCAGTTGCCTAGGCAAGTTTTATTGTCTGATCAAAAAAAAAACACTTCCCTAGTCAAGGTGAGCTTTGCTAGGGGGAGTTATTGCTCATAGGTCATAAAAGAAAACTTACTGAGGGAAGTTGTCGTGCTAGTCGACTCCACTCTATTCTCAAGCTTCCTGGACTACCAGTAGAACAGGTAACACGTACTGTCTCTCCTGACCAAACTTCCACTTCTTTTGGAACCTGTATTATCATGAATAATAATGAGAAGTTACATTTTGAAGATTACTGATCTTTTATTAGCAGTTGGTACATAACAAAATTTTGCCATAATATCAATTTATGCTAACTTTACAGAGATATAGATACAAATTAATAATAGACTGATCTACTGATAATTCTAAGGTGAGTTTTACAAAAATTACAAAGACATCTTAATACTGTACAGGTAGTATCCACTTAACTTGAGTTCACACAACAAAAAATATGCATAAGCACAAGACCAATTAGGGAAACTGTTTACATAGCACAAAAATGATCCCGGTTTAATATAAGCCACAACTTTGCAGTACACAAAAGTGAACTTATCATATAAAGCATTTCTCTAGAGAGCGCCCATCTATGAAAAATCATGAAAATCACCATTTATTAATGCATTTTCTCTTATATCGAGGGAAGAAAAGAGATAAGCATTAATTTCATCAAATCAATATAGAGATTTTGTAATTCTAAAGGCCACTTCCCTTGCATTACCCATCTGTTTGAGGAATAATCCCAAACCAAAATCAAATGCATTTCTGTCCTCACTAACAATTCCTTATGTGGAGGCATGAGTGCTACGACAGTCATAGGTACTGTGACAGAGTCATGGGTGGTGTGACAGAAGCATGGGTAGTATGACTGAAGCATGGGTAGTGTGACTGAAGCATGGGTGGTGTGACTGAAGCATGGGTGGTGTGGCTGAAGCATAGGTGGTGTGACAGAGTCATGGGTAGTGTGACAGAAGCATAGGTGGTGTGATAGAGTCATGGGTAGTGTGACAGAGTCATGGGTGGTGTGACAGAAGCATAGGTGGTGTGACAGAGTCATGGGTAGTGTGACAGAAGCATAGGTGGTGTGATAGAGTCATGGGTAGTGTGACAGAGTCATGGGTAGCGTGACTGAAGCATGGGTGGTGTGACTGAAGCATGGGTGGTGTGACTGAGGTATGGGTGGTGTGACTGAGGTATGGGTGGTGTGACTGAGGTATGGGTGGTGTGATGGGGTTGGTAGAAAGGGAATCATTACTGGTATATCCAAAATGGGTTAACAGATAAACCGTGACTAGTATTATGGCAGAGAATATAAGAATCCCAGACTGAGTAAACAGCCTGTGTGATTAGAATGTGGAGTGAATTGGTGGGTGAGACTGATTTTAAAGATAATAATAAATGGAGTTAGAACAAAATTATCATGATTAAAAAATCATCAAAACTCACCTGAACAATTATAATTGGTCTTCCAGTTGGAGTGAGAATTGAATCAGCCGTTACCACATTAATGATGATTCGAGCATAATCTGATCCTCCAGCATTTGTTGCTGTGCAGAAGTATTCACCAGAGGAAGATGGTAAAACATTTTGCATTCTAAGAACTCCATTCTGCTGAAACACCTATGGAATAGATAGAATCCTTTCTCAATAAAACACAATTAAGTATTTGAGTATACAGTACTGTACTGTATATAATGAAAACAAAAGCAATCAATAATCCACAATTAATCATAGGGAGAGCATTAATAGTTAGTTAAAAAATCAATCTAAAATCTACAATTAGTGACAGAAAAAGTACAAGTGAATTAGTTGAAAAAAAAAATAATAATCTAGGTCTTAATAGTCAATACTAACTCCAAAATAGCCTTGATATAATTTCAGGAAAATTGATACAAGACAAATGTAAGTGGCTGTTCACACTTTCCCTTGAAAAAAAAAAGTTATGCAACTATTAAAGTTCCCCAATTTATAAAGGACTGATTAAAATAAATCCCAAGTTACAAAAAATAAAAAAATGTCCACTGAATCAATATACAAATGAAAAATTCATAGTTTTGACTTTATTTTTTCAAAATCTTTGTAATCCTTTCCAAAGTAATTATGAAAATATACTAACAATGCAGTATTTTTACAACCAATATGCTTACTTCTTTCACTAACTTATCTTCATTATTCTCTAACTCTCGCAATGTTATGAAGTCTCTACATAAGCTTTCAATCCACCATCAACTTATAATTTATGCCTCAAACTTAATGGAAATGAGTAGACTCAATTCCACCAGCACAGTCATTCAGCCAATTGCCTGATTATCCAACTTCTCCTCATTTACTCTTTTGTAATATGTGACAAATTAAATAAAAATAAATTTATTCTGTATTCTTAAATTTCATATACCCTGTACTATAGTATTTCCACGCTAAACTGACCCATAAGCCCCACCCCTCGTCAATAGCTACAAATAGCCAATTGGTTCCCGAGCGTTTTACCTCCCCCCGGACTGTGCATGTATAAGCGCATATTTATATCAACCTTTTATAATAAATATAAAAAATTTTCTAACATCCTCTCTGAAGTGCTAATGCCTTGAAATAATTTGCCTTTTGATAATTCATATATTTAACATTATTTTATATAATAACAGGTCTGCTTACCAATTGTAAACACATTTAGTTTTAATTATCTATGAGCCAAGCAGCTATTAGTATAGATGAGGGGCGGGGCCTATGGGCCAGGTTAGTGTGGAAAGGGTATACGTAATTGCATACCGTCAGCCAGAGATTCACTTGTTACAGTAGTTGGCATTCCACCCCACATCAAATAGGTACTACTTTCATCTAAATAAATTTTTACCATTCTTATGACATTAAATCATTAAACATGTAATAATTGTAGGGTGGCATAATATAGTTTTATGAGTTGCAGTAATGAATGAATTATTGAATAGCTATCAAAGTTTATGAAATATATTCTGAGAAATTACAGCACACTATGACTGTACTTCTATACATATTCTACAACAACCCATGACAATAGTTCCCATATTCTCCATTCTGAGAACTGACCATTATTTTGTTATACAAAACTGACATCTAAATGAATAATATTGTCTAGAAATAATAAAATTTATTATGCATGACATAAAATTTAATTATGCTGGAGGACTTACATTGACAGGAAGTTGTTCACGGTTTGAACCATAAGTCCAAACAACCTGAGGGTGTGGGCTTCCCGTGGCAGAACAGCGGACTGACAGAGTTCCCCCAATTATTACCTCAAGCTCTTCTCTACGTTCTTCTATGGTAACACGTGGACGTCCTCCTGCTTTAAGGACAGAGAGGAGGAGAGACTTGTAAAGCAAATTTTCTTTTAAAGTAAATATTCAAATGTAATGACTAATAACATTTAAACAAATATGGAAAATATTATGCCTAATGTTAAATCAAATTTTCTTTAAAATGCAATTTACAGTATATTTACCAATACTGTACCACACAAAAATAACTAAAGATTTTTTGTTTTAAATACAGCCCGTTTTAAAAATTATCAGTATTATTTCACATCGTTGTTTTTTTACACAAATGACTTTTATCATGTCTTTATTTTTTTAATTTTCAAAATAATTTATATTGGAACCCAAATGAAATCCCTCTGAATAACTATGCACACAAAATAATAAATAAAGAACTTATTTGCAGGTACAGTGTACAGTATTTGATGTTATAAAGATGAATAAAACTTTGTGGGCAAGAAGTAAAAATATTCATCTAATAAATATATTTATAGTTTTTTGAAGAAAAGAGCTTACAAGTAACGTTATTGAAGCTTGTTTTAACTTATAATAGCACAATGAGGTGTATGGTATGTATTCCTACACTAGATATGTACTGTATGTCTGAAGAAAATACAGGCTACCAATATGAAGTGTAGAGAGCAGAATTATATTTAAATATTTTAATATCTGGTGTACAATATTTGTATTGAAAATAGAAATTCATAAAATGATATTCATATAAACTGATCTTATAAAAGATTTACGGTACGTACAGTATTTGGGAATGCTTTATTTGATTTTCCGGTGATGTGGTAATGTAGTGCATGACTAAAACTTATTGATATGGGTGTCCAAGTAATTGGAAAAGATCTTGGTGTAAAGGGATAATTCCCACTAATGGGAGATGTCCCGAGTGACTGCAAATTTTTTGATACCACAAGTGCTATGCACCAATTGTTCCAGAATTAAGAAATATTAAAGGAAAGAGTAATATCTTCTGCTTTTGGTTGGCCACATTGTGCATTTACTTACAATTTACAGTTTAGATTTTAATTGAACCCTTAAGGGGATCTGTTTACCACCTTGGATAGAAAAAGGTCATTGAATAAGTAAAATTTTTGGGAGTGTCACATAGGTTCTGTCCCTATTATTTCTAACAAATCACAGGCACTCCCTCCAACATTCTGTTGATCCTGAGTGGCTCCACTGCAACAAGTAGTTCCAAGGTCTATTACCCAGATTATGCACCCCACAGAAGTTACATGTGGTTTGTGTATTTTCCCATGCAATTTAGTCATATGTAGCTTCAAGAAATATGTGATAATTCTAATTTGAGAGCATTCTGACTACAGTCCTTTGTTTCAGATGTTCCAAGGTCAGTTCCTCACTTCTGCATTAGTTGTCATTTGGCAAGGTAAACAACCCATCCTTGGGACACTCTATGCTTTAGCTTTGTATTTAAGATTCAGACTTTTAGGTCCTAAAAGAGAGCTTCAGTCATGTCTGACAGGGAGGGCTGAACATATGTATCCCTCAGTCAACATGGTGTAATGATGGGGACTTGATTCTTTTAGAAAAAGCATAAGAAATGTTGATACTGGAGTCTAAAAAATCAGTTCTACTTAGGTTAGAATTTTTTTTTTACCCAAATAATCCTGAATAGTTTATCTAAAAGTTTTTCAAACATACAGTATATGCAAATAAATCACTGTAGGTGTGTGTAATCCATGTATCTGCTGATAACCACACAGGAAAAAAGAAAACACAAAGTTCCCAAGAGCTTTCGTGTAATTCACATCCATCTTCAGGGGTGAGTACAAACTGTATTCACCCTTGAACATGTGAATTACACAAAAGTGCTTGGGAACTTCATGTTTTCTTTTTTCCTATGTGCAACTCACAGCGACAGACACAGGATCTGTATTCATTTAAGCTAACACCCCAGTATACGTACAGTACAATATATTGTAAATAAAAAAAATATTGTATACAACTACTGTACTGTACATTCTGTATTCACCAGCAGATGCTATCATCTTGAGTCTACAGCAAGCATACACTGTCCAATTTGCTGAATGTAATACAGTATATAACTGTAATTCTTTTTTACATCTTAACACTTGCAATGGAAGTGTGGTAGAGGATTAGTGGTCTCATATTACTGATTTGATGCAATGTCAGGTCACCCATTGTCAGGGAGGGGGATTAGTGTGTCTCATGACCTGAAGAATGATGTCTTGAATATAGACAAAAGCTAAGGTGCCCCAGTGCTTTTCTTATCATGTACATATAGTACTTTCACACTTACTGAATGTACAGTACAGTATGCATAACTGTAATCACGTTTTACATCTTAACACTGCTTTAGCATTATATTCCTGACTTGTACAATGGCAGAAGAATATGTGGCTTAGTGGGGATAAGCTGAGAAATGCATCAGCCTATCACAGGTATCCCATGAAGTCACATGACAGCATTAGCCAATCGCAGCACGCAAACCTATGGCCCAAGTTAGCCAAGCGGTCTTCCTACACATGCAACCAGCTTGTGAGGACACAGCAGAGCATGATGCAATCATTCGTAACTCCTAGAATTTTTGTCCCCCAGGTCCAGAGCAGGAAGGTTTGGAAAGATTTTCTCAGAATTTTTCTAGAAAATGCACTTTCTTTCATCCTCAGAATTTGTTACCAGGTCTGGCATTTTTTAATATATTTTTATTTTTTATATACTATACAGAAAATTTTCTGAACTTTACTGGAAAATGCAGCTGATTTTCAACTTCGGAAACTCGTTTGTAGACCCGGAATTGAGATATAAATTTTTTTAATACCGGAGACTGGGGATTGTGGCTAACAGGGATATTACTTAAAAATCTAATTTGGGCTCTTTGGGTCAGTGGTAACTTTTGTGTAAATGTTAATTTGTGTTATGGTCTTTGGGTCAAAATCGTGTGCACTTGAAATTTTGGGTTTATGCTTCAAGGTCCATTGCTCCCATATTATGAGTCACTGTTTAGTTCACAAAATTCACGTGTTCTCTAAATGGTACTACCAAATGAGTGCAAAATTGGGATGTTTTACTGTAAGTGGATTACTGTCATATTAACAAGCATAGATGAAGGTTTTCTTCAATAAGACCTATGTAGACCCCAGGTACAATCCCTGACTCTGATGAAAAATTTAAATTTGTGTACACTCAGCTACTGCACTCTTTTCAAATGTAGGACTTATAATCCTAATCTTATTTGAATTTGTACATGTACTGAAGTAGTTTGGGTAAACCAAAACAAGATTCTACCTCATTTGGGATGGAAGGCAAAGCTTTTATTGCCTTGGAGAGAAAAAAAAAAAAAATAAATAAATACTGTATAAAAATCCAAATGAATTCTGAAGACTTAGTTAATTACAAGGTGAGCTTCAGTGAGAAATCATGGCCAATGAATGTCACTCATCTTAATCCATTAGAAATCTCAGGTAACTCTGATAAAAACTTTACATAAAAAAAAAAAAATGAATAAAATCTGAAATAGAAATTGCCAGATCCTAGAAGGGCTGACCTGGCAGAAATTGTGCATTGTAAGTTAGAAAATTAACAATATACTACAGGGGTAGGGGTATGAAATTCCATTTATGGTTGAAGAAGATTTTGAAGTGATGGAGCTAATGAGTCCGTCAAAATCTTTTTGACTCTGTGAACCCTGAAACATCTTGGCCTTCACACCCATCATTGGTTCAGGAAGTAAAATGGTTCAGAACCAACTGGGTGAGTATTGTTGCGAAGAGGATTTTTTCATTATCTGCCCTTGTCCATTTGGATATTGTAACCAGTCATTAAATTGTATACTCTTACTGAAAGGCACAGTAAAAAATGATCTACAGGAAGTGTTCTCACAAATCACTTGCAGATGCCCGACCTAAAGGTTATAAAACTTAGCAAATCTTTTAATTTTCTGAGCAAATTTAATACTGTACAGTTGCCACAGCACTTCTGATACTTGATAAATTATTTATTCAGCAGTTGTTATTTGTTTTAATCACTCTTTGCCAAGAGAATCCTACCACTCAGACCCGGATTGAAAAGTGGCATGTGCAACACGTAATAGCTCACCACAGGTTTTATATACATATAGAATCTTTGTTATAAAATCATACTCCCACCCTTAGATATGAGGAAATACATAAAATATTTATGAACAAATACTTATACTGTACTGTATATATGAGAAAAAATTTCAAGAGAATAGCTTTTCAGATACGGTAATTTAAGCTGTGAGACACATCATAATAGGAAAGCAACACTTTTGTAAAGCCAAAACATGCAACATCCAACTTCAAATGTCAGAAATATTGTACTACAGTTTGAAATTACAGAAGTAAAAAAAAAAGGGGGGGGAGAGGGAATAGAATAATATGAATATTTAATATAACTAATCATCAAGACAATTTTTAGTTTTGGAGGACCACTGGGACACAGTAGGATTACGGACAAATCATCATGAATATGAGGGTGCAAATTGAAAATATCTAAAATGTTCAAAGTTTGCCTTGTTAAACATCTCAGCCATATACTGTACTGTAGTTACCACTAAAAGAAGATTACTGTATGGTAGTACTTTGTTATAATCCAGTAGTTATATAATGAAATATACCAAAGACACATTGACCTGATTATGCATGCATATTAGCTTTAGGTAACATTTCACTTACTTCAAATGGTTTTACTGTATCTTAAAATGTGTTTAAGTAAAACCTTGAAATGGAAATAAAATCATCAAAGTTCTGCACAGTGTAGGTGCATGTATTTTATGTATGTACTGTACTTTAAATAAAGTCATATGCTATATCTAATAACATTTCTCTTTGTTAGGAAAAAATAGTTTACTGGAGAACCCAAAAATTCTGGAAATTAGTTACCTGGGAGCCTAAGAAAGTCAGCACATTTGGAATTTTTAAAAATAAAACTTTGCATTTATGGAGAAAAGTTGATGCACTATTTTGATCATGCCAACACTGGCTGGATTTGTTAGTAAGAATTCTTGCTAAACAGCTTC